TTCTGGTATTAATGCCGAGAGGATGAGGATTAGAACTGCTCGTGACCATCAAACTGTCTCGGTATGATTGTGCTCTTATCTTTCCTCAGTTGCATTGGTTTCATCTATTTCCTCCACAAAGCACCATAAGCTTATCGAGAATTTGAAGCAAATGGTTGAAGTCACGAACCATAAACCCATGATAATAATCTATTTCCTCCGCAAACTACCATTCCCTAGAGTATACATTTCTCAACTTTCTTCAAACCTTGACCATCAAGTCACAAATTCAATAATGCTTCCTTGAACCAGCCACAAATTACAAAAAATAAAACAAAATTAAATTAAGAGTTGCATGATTTACTATTCGGGTCACTATTTACCTGCACTAAATTGTACGTGTACTGTTCATTTTTCATGTAACATCATATACTAGTTTTACATGAAATTGCACTTTGGTATCTGATGTTTCCAAAAAAACTTATTTTGGTCCACAACTTTGTTAGCATAATAGTTTAGTCTTTGAATGCAGAAAGAAGAGAGAAACGATGAGAGAGAAGGTCACAATTGATCTCGATCTTGGCCCTTTTGTTGTTAGTCTTGCATTCGTATTATTTATCTTGATAAAGAAAAAATGTTAATGGTGGTATTCAATTACTAAATAATTGAAAGATATAGATCAGAATTCAATAAAATTTATTTTATTTTTTTTTAATGTGCATTAACATGCTTTTTAAGATCCCAGACGATTTTATTGATCTTATTTCAGGTATTTGAGGTGTTTTGTAAAAAAAAAAAAATGATGTTAAAAATGAGTTTTGGAGGTTTGAAACTTCACCTTTTTCGGCGACAATTTTGAAAACATTTTCGAACAAACTTGCTTTCGTCGAAAATTGTAGTGGACAACACGAGTGATGCGGCGTTAGTTTTTTTTCCTTTTTAAAAAAATGGGACGAGTGAACTTGTTTCTGCAAACCCAAGGCTGTGGGCCTACCCTTTTTTTTCCCAAAAAATTATTTTATTTTTATTGAGTTGCGAATGAAAATTATTAAAAATCAATTATTATATTTTTTTGTTTTTCTCACAAACTGATAACGATGAAACATGTATGATGCATTTTTATATTTTAAAATGAACATACATATATATATATATATATATATATATATATATATATATATATATAGAATTATATTATTATTATTATTTAAAATTAATTTCTTAATTTTGTTATTTTTTTATAAAAAATCTCATCAAATTATTTTTATTATTTATTTATTAATAAATATAATTTATTTTTCTTTATTTATGAATTTTCAAATAAAATTTTAGATGATTATAATTTTTTTAAAAAAATATATTGATATAATTTATATGATAGATTATTATAATTTTTAAATGATTGTATTAAAACGTTAAAAATGTATTTCAAATAATTTATTTTTATTTTTTAAAATTAAATAATCAATTAAAAAAAGAAACTTACTTTTTTTCTTTGCTTCTTCTTGAATATTTTTTATTATACGGTACATTCTAAATCCATTAAATATGACCATGATATATATATAAAAAATGGATAGTTGGTTTTATTAAAAAGTAATAACACATCTATACACATAATATCAATCATTTGCTTTTGATTTTTTAGTATTCTAAAATCAATTTTTTAAATAAAATAATTAAAATAATATCGTAGAAGAATCATTCAATGATTCAAATATAACTTGTTATGCTAATATTATTGATTTTTTTGCTAATAAATATATATAAATTAAATATACACATTTCAAAAAATCATCTTCTCATCAACATTAAATAAGAAAAAAATCATTTATTAATTCCTATAAAAGTTTTTATATTAATTGTTGCTCTATTTTTTTAATACAATTTTATGAAAAAAAATTAAGGTATTTTTTTAATAAAAAAACTGGATTGATTATAAGTTATTATTTAAGAATAAATACATAAAAAATATATTTTGATAGCCATAATATGATAAAAAATAAAAAATTAAAATATTTTTTTAATTTTTTTTATATATATCCTGCTTGACTAGCAGCGTAACGCAACAACTAACTAGTTAAATCTAAAACAAAAGTAGACATATAAAAGAAATAGACAAATGTCAGGTTTAATTGAATGATGTTTGCTTGAACCAGCCACGGAAACCCCCAACACACTCGTGACCGATTTTCCCAATTCCAACACTGATTGTGGATAAATGACGCGTAAAACGCTACGAAAGCTGAGGAAGTTAATTGATACAAACCAAACCTTTTGATATTATTGAGACATTGCTTAGACCTTTAAAACCTCAAAGGGTGGAAATCAAATTTTACCCATGGAATAGAGTTGTTCACAAGTTTGGCAAAGTACAGAGACAGATTTCATGGGGTCAACGCGTTCCTGAATCATCTCTATTTCTAATTAGGTAATCATTGAAAATGTGTTTTCAACAAAAGAAAGCTGAATGTTAGTTACTACTCTTGCATTTACGATTCTAAAATCCGTTTTGAGTTGTTTGTATTGGTGAGAATATTACCATCAAATTTATAGTGAAAAAAAAGAAGGAACGACGACATTAATGAATAAAAAGAACAGAAAAAAAATCAAAATAAAAGACGCGCCTAGTCGCTTTGATTTAATCTTGACATAAAAACATGGACGCAGTAGATGGAACCAGATGCAATTGTGCAACGAAAGGACATAAAATTCTTCAGCTAAAATTCAAAGCGATAAAAAGGTAAATGAAAATGAAATAATTTACTTTTATATGGAGATGGTAGCGAGGGCATAAAATGGATTGGAAAGGAAAAATTTCTTGATACTCTGTGATTCTCAATATTCATTTTATAAAGGAAAGATAGGTGTAAAAATTAAAAAGCAATAGGAGAAAAAAATTAAAAAATAAAATTGAGATTGGACGAAAATATTATTATTATTATTTGTGGTTATGGATTTATATATTTTTTTATTTTTGAATTCATCGATATTAATAATTATTTTTTAGTATTTTAAAATTTTTACTTTGGAAAGGTAAAAAGACAAAAGCAATGGAGTGTTTGACAAATTGAGAGACGGCAAGAGGGAACATATTAATGTTAGGGAGGAATGACTTGTTGCATCAGCTGTTAAGAAGGTCAATATAGTTAAGCTATTTTTTTATTAAGGAAGGTGGAACCAATAACAGACGCCATAGATGATTCCAAAGAGAAAATTCTTTCACACAGTTTACTTTTATAGAAGTTCATTAATCACATAAACTAACGATTTAACTGAAGAATTTTTGTTGGTGGCCAAGGCGGTGCGTAGTACTGCTTTGCCTCCCGAAATTCTTTGAAAGTCTTTTCTTTATCATGGAAAATCTTTGAACGTTAATTAAGTAGCATGTATAATTATTAAAAAGTGCTAGTGCTATTTCCAAATGTTGATCCCTCAAATAAATTAAAAGCCTTTACTTAAGGTGAAAGAGTACAAAGATGCTAATCATCTGCTAGAATCTAGGAAAAAAAAAGAAAAAAAAAGCTTGAATATCTTAAAAGTTCTCAAATTCATCCTTTATTTTGAAAAGAAGTTTGTTGATGTTTCTAATATTCCTTATTTTTCTCGATTCAGATTTATGGTCCTCAGTGATTCTTACATCCATTTATATACTGAAATTTTATATAATTAACTACCGACAGTTACGCACAAAAAAGTAAATGAGTTAAGCAATATTTTTTTTAAACAAAAATAAAATAAAACGATAAATCATCAAAATCTGAACTGACTGTGCTAATATTAATTTAATTTTTTTACTATACTAAAGCAAAAGATCCGCGAGAAAATCTACCCAGGAAAAATTAGAAATAAAAATGATAAAAACAAAACATATAGTAAATGGTTTTTCTTGGTCAGAAATAATTGATAAATGACATATTTTTACGAATTGTATTTTATTTATGAAAAAAATATCAAGGGGGTGATCAAAGTATTTACACACCCAAAAATTATGTGGAGAACCTATTCATTTAGATATGCACATCTTGGCCCGCTAGCCGTTCGTTTATGTTGAAAAAAAAAAACAGTAAATCACAGTGATGTCAAATGAAAATTAAAATAACTATAAAAAATTAAATTTTATATATATATCAACTTAGGCTGTTAAAAAAAATATTTAAATATTCACTGAGGAATGATAATGTATATCCATGAGTTGAGTTTATAACATATTTATATTTTATTCATTATATGTAGGATAAAATCTCTAGATATTTATATTTGATCAAATGAGTTTGAGTATCCATTACTTCCACATTATATATTATTTATCAAATTAGGCTGTAAAAAAAAAAAATTTAAATATTCACTGAGGAATAATAATGTATACCCATGAGTTGAGTTTATAACATATTTATATTTTATTCATTATATATCGGATAAATTTTTTGAATATTTATATTTGATCAAATGAGTTTAATATCCATTACCTTCAATGCTATGTATTATTTAACATTATATATATATATATATTTCAGTTGGTTTTTCAGATTGGATTTTGGATTATATTAGATAATATTTATATCCTATTTTTTATTCAACACATAAAAATTTTGGATATCCATTGAAATCGGTTTGCATGAGCATCTATCGGGTTCGGCTTAAATAGTCATCACTATGTTCAAGACACTGCCACGTATCGGGCCAACCCGTTTAATATTTGTAACCCATGAGCAGTAGGGTTGGCGCATAGCAGGAAAAACATCATGAGTCGGGGCGTGACTGACTGGGAGACGAAGAGGCGTCGTTGACGTGAGATCCACGCCCTCGCCAACACGACAAAAAGTCGCACATTTACGCCTAATGTTTGACAGTCAAGGCGCGTAATTTCATCAAACATGTAATAGAAAAGAAAAAGAAAAATCACACATTCTCCCTTTCGTTTCTCCTTTCTTTATATATACATAGAATAGAAAGATGAAAAACAGGCACTAGCAATTTAGTTTCTCTTTTGCTACTTATTCAATTTTCTCGCAACAGCAATGAAGGGCCGGAGCACTACCAAAATATCTGGGAAATGGATTTTATTTCTCTGTTTATTTTGCTTCGCTCTTGGAATTCTCTTCTCTAACAGGTCCACCCCTTTCTCGTCATTTCTTCATTTATCTTTTTTCCCCTCTGTTTCGACTTTAATTTTGTTTTAGTTTTTACTCACCTTCAAATTTGTTCATTTTGTTTTCGAATCGGATCGTGTGTGCGCTCGCCCAGATTATGGGATTCCTCAGCTGAACCCAACGGTCAGCAGCTCCTATCGCAGCGTCGACATGAACAAGAATTGCAGGTCATCAATGACGATTCCCAAACTAATAAGGTTTTATTGATCTCTTTTTCTAACTACAAACTATCAAAATTAGTTTGCCCATCTTTTTGATTGACTTTTGCCTTTCTTTTTGGTTCTGAAGTCGTCGCTTTTCTTTTTTGAAGCTTTCACATAATAAAGATGTAATGGGCGAAGTGTTGAAAACCCATGAAGCAATTCAGTGAGTTTTTCTTTCACTGACCTTAAATTAGCCTTTTTTTATTTTGATTTTTTCATCTTTGTTAACTTTGATTCACTTTTGTGGACTTTTTGGAGGTCTGGCAGATCATTAGATAAGTCAGTTGCTATGCTTCAAATGCAATTAGCAGCATCTAGGAGTTCTCAAGAGAGGAGCTTGGATAGCTCTGCTGCCGTATCAACCTTGTCTCGCGACGGATCACCAAGGCAGAAAATGTTCATGGTTATTGGGATTAATACTGCTTTTAGTAGTAGAAAGAGACGTGATTCGGTTAGAGAGACTTGGATGCCTCAAGGTTTTAGTTGTCTTCAGTGCATTTCTTGATTGTTTATGAAAAAACTAGGTGTTTTAGCTTGATGGTTTTAGTAAATGTTCAAATTGTTTTGTTGTTTCATCAGGGGAGAAGCTTGTACAATTGGAGCGCGAGAAGGGTATTATTGTCCGGTTCATGATTGGCCATAGGTGAATTGTTTTATAGTCTTTTGCCCCTTTAAATAATTTATTATGCAAGTCTGAGAAGTTTCTGTATGTTCCTTTGACAACAACTGTAGGAAATAATTTTATTTGCAGTAGTTTAGAAGACTTGATCTTGTTAACCAAGTGAACTCATAGGATTAACTGCCTTCCATTAAGATAGTTCATTCGAAATCGTCTAATTACTTGCTGGATATGTTTGACGAGTACATGAGTGTCTATACCAGGAGGCAATTTCTAATGTATGGTCACATTTTCGCTGAATCTCATATTGCATGTGGGGTGGTTATTCACTGTATCTAGATTTAATGATGATACTCAATCATCATCCTCATCCATGACCATTGCACGTGGAAAAGAGGGATACGTACAATTAAATACAGAGAGACCATGGGCCCTGGCTCTTTTAATCCCATAATCTCTCTGAAATCAAGGCTTCATGTAGCCCATGCCTGTAATTAACCACTCTATGAGATGGTTGTTCTTATATGTATGCTGTCAGGTGGCATTTTTGAAAAGATTTGTCCTTGTGGAATGTTTGTTATTTACTAACACATGCTTCTCAGATATAATCCTTTTCTCAGAACTTATGGATAGACAGTCCAGAAAATTGGTCAATGTTAGAGAGCTCGTGTTGAGCTAAAGCTTAGATTCTGAGTATGAGGGCAGTGGGAATTGTCCTTTGCCACTTTTCTCTCTTCAACCTCATTCACATCTGTTCCTGTCTCTGAGGTTTCTGTAGTGTTGTTGAATGGCAGTATCCAGTGGTATAACTTGCAAATTGCAAGCAGTTGATCCTGGAATTGCAGCATTAGAATACTGACTAATACAAACATCATAAGTTGACTTGACATGAGTTTGTATCTTACTATAGATATCTGCACAAATTTCACTTTTGTTTTGAATTGGAATTGACCTTATGGGTATCTGCATGTATTGTTTCAGTGCAACATCCAACAGCATTTTAGACAGAGCCATTGATTCAGAAGATGCTCAGCATAAGGATTTCTTTAGGCTGGTAAGAAAACCATGATGGTGTTTTCTATTTCTTGAAAGATACAACATACTATGCTAGGATTTGGTTCTCATTATTTTAAATTTTATAGGAGCATGTTGAAGGATACCATGAATTGTCTGCAAAAACAAAAATTTTCTTTTCCACAGCAGTTGCGAAGTGGGATGCAGAGTTTTATGTCAAGGTGGATGATGATGTTCATGTTAATCTGGGTATGCACAGGCTCTTAGCATCTTTGTAAACTTAAATTATTTAAAATATTCCCCATTACCAAAGATGATCTCACACACCTGTTTCTTCTGTAGGTATGCTAGCTGCTACACTTGCTCGCCATCGATCAAAGCCCAGGGTGTACATTGGATGTATGAAATCTGGACCTGTTCTTTCCCAAAAGTAATTCTTTTAGACCCTAAGTTCTATACTGATCATAATATTGATGTCCAATATCCTCTCCACAGATTGGGTTATTGGTGTTAAGTATATCTTCTTAAATTTCCATTCTGCTTTTTAGGAATGTCAAGTATCATGAAGCAGAGTATTGGAAATTTGGAGAAGAAGGGAACAAATACTTCCGACATGCAACTGGGCAGATATATGCTATCTCAAAAGAACTCGCCACTTATATCTCCATTAACCAGTAAGGATAGGAATTTTCAATTAGGAATTCGGTTGGCTGAGTCACCTGCTGGCTGCCACATGTGGATCGTTGTGCTCTATATTTGTTAACACTTGCTTTGGCATCAAATTTTTTGAAAATTAATTTCAGATTCTGTTAAATTTTTTTGTTCAATATCAAATGGTAGTTACAAAAATCTATTCTCTGGCATATATGGAAAAAACATTTTTATTAATTGGTCTATTTTGTACAGAAACATTTTCGATCATTGGATTGAGTAACTTCACAATTTTGATGTTTTGCATCTTACATTTTTTTTGGGGGGTTTTCAAGACAGTTTATGTTGTGGTGCTGATTCTTACTGCAGGCCCATATTGCATAAGTATGCTAATGAAGACGTGTCTCTTGGTTCATGGTTTATTGGTCTTGACGTTGAGCACATTGATGATCGTAACATGTGCTGTGGGACGCCACCAGGTATTGCTCTCAAAACATCAGTTAGAACATCATATCTTGCTTTAAATTGCATCGTTGTAGGAATTTAAAAAAAGTAAAAGGAAGAATGAAGTGTGGTTCATGCTTAAGATTGTTACTACTTTGAATAACTAATCTTGCAAATGGCATGTCTGGAACAGACTAGGCATTTATTTTTAACTTGTGTTTCTACTCTGCCACTTCAGACTGTGAGTGGAAGACACAGGCGGGCAACGTGTGCATTGCATCTTTTGATTGGAGCTGCAGTGGAATTTGCAAATCGGTGGAGAGGATCAAATTTGTTCATGAAAAATGCGGTGAAGGAGATGGATCTGTCTGGAGTGCTCTCTTTTAAGTTAGGTGGGATTGTATTTGTTGTCAATTGAAGATCATAAGGTTTTCAATTGTGGTTACTGAGTAGGTGGGATGCAGAGTTGAGGGTTGGAGGGAGTCCACATAGATACTGTACAGGTCTCCAGATTCTGAAAATATTGCTTCTTCAACTGCTGAACGATTGCCATTTCAAGAGTGCTGAGCAAGACCTTTGGAGTAGCTATTTATGTAGAAACTTTTAATCAAAACTGTCATTTAATTGCTTGGGAACGGGTTTTAGAAGATTGTGTTCCACAGATCGTCCAGCCTTTTTCCGAGCGTGCGAGGATGCAGTCTTCCTACACCCCAACATTATACTTTCAGAGAGGACTTGTGAGTTGAATAACGTCGTTGGGGCAAACAGGAAAACAGAGAGTTGGATGTGATTTATTGGATAGATAGATACACACAAAGCTGGCGTGTTGTATTCCAGCACGATTTTTTTTTCTTTTAGCATTATTAGCTTTCTTTGAATTGGCAAACCTTAGTTGGAAAAATGGGAAAAAAAGAAAAAGATGGCACGCTTATGAATACTGATGCAATTCTTATTGTCTTCAATGAAAATTTTAACATTCAATTTTAATGATCGAGGTCCATTCTCTGGCTTTGATGGCTTTATCTTTCAAGGTTTTAGCAAATTCGGAGCTCGGCATGGACCTTTATGGCAAGCCATATATTGTTTGTGCGTTCGCATTATGAATTTCAAGGAGGCTTGTTTCCATTTTGTGGTCTGGTTACACTTACGCTACTAGCATAATTAACATGTAGTTTGAACTTGGGTGGTTAAGATGTTAAACTTTAATTTCAAATTAGAAGTAGCGTTTTTTGAATTCGATTTTTGATGTTGAAAACCTATTTAATAGTTTTGGACTGAAAAAACCTTGTCTTCTGAAACAGCAACACCGTTGGGAAGAAAAACTCACAGGCGGGAAGGAAACGTTAAAAACTGTAAAAGTGAGAGTTTGCTTTTTTTGCACTAAAATTTTCATTTTTATTGGAATTGGGGGCGAACTTGGTGAATTTGGTTTGGGCAATTGACGCTTTTGCCCACCCAATGTGCGATTTGTTTTTTAAACTTAATTAACCGATTCAACTAGTAATTAGTATAATAGCATCTTTAATGCTCTTTTTATATTAATTTTTTTTATAATAAAAATGTTTGACTCAAATTCCATAGCCAATGCTCTCTTTATTATAATCTCTATTTTTAAAATTAAGATAAACGATTGTCTTTGGCTTTTCAATATTAAAGAGTTCAAATGATTCTTTATTTTATAGTTCATTAATAAAAATTATTATTTCCTATGTCACTCAACCTCTTCACAAATAATATTTCTGAATTTTATTAATTTTATCAAAATAAAGAGTTAAAATAAAAAGTAGCATTAGAGATGACATTAATCTTCAATTTATATAATTAATAATGCTCTTTATTTACATTAAAAATACTAACTAAAAATAGAGAACATCATTGAAAATGTTCTAAGGGTTGTTTTTCATTTTGATGGCTAATAGGTTTCTCTCAATTGAATGGTCAGAAAAAAGCCACCAAAATTATGGGCGTGTGTAATTAATCGAAAACGTTATGGGCACACCTAAATTGTCTATTCAGAGTCTTATAATTATTATTTTTATTTGTAGCTTAATAACCAAAATAACATTTCTTTTCCATGAAGTTACATGGGGTCTATATGTCTCATATCTTTTATTCAAAACTGCTCTCATACTTTTCCTTTCTTTTTTCAACTTTCACCACTGAAATTGTACTATTTCCGACCATTGCCTCCGCCATTTATCAATTTGTAAGCAAACTTATAATGCAAATACTAAAGAATCTAATTAATAAAATCACCGCAGGCTAGAATCTTTTTTAACTTAAAAATCCATTTAATTGATAGCCGGACCATCACTTTCAGAAAAACATCATCCATTATTAAACTATCATTGCTGTAGAACAAACTCAAAATCATTGATAGATTAAAACCATTCCATCAAAGGAAAACATGTCATGGAAAGGTTGTATCTGTTTTAGCAATTTGAAAAAACAAAGAAGAGAGGTCAATTTTGTCATTGCATAAAAAATAAACAATTTAATTTCTAAAAACTCAAATAATAATAGAAATAATGAATGAAATAAACAACCAACAGTCCTCCTAATATTGTTTACGAACTATGTCGTTCATTTCTGCGCTTCTCCCTCGACGAGAATTGAACCCAAATTAACTCAACTCTCCCTCTTTGTGAAATTTTCCTTGTCCTCCTCCTCAATCGATTCGAAGTCTCTTCTTATCTCTCTAGAAATAGAAGAGAAAAAAGTCAATTTAATAAACCATAAGCTAGATAACCTAGTGCCAATAACAGAAATTTGAAGAGAAATGGAAAACTCAGACATATCGCTGGGATTGCACGACTTCCTAGAACGGATGCGCCATCCTTCCGCCGCCGATTTCGTCAAATCCATCAAAAGGTCTCTCTCTAATCGCTTAGAGCACCCACGCACAATCAATCTATAAACAGTATGATTGTATTCGACGCTTTTAATTTTTGATTTTTTTTTTGCTTGATTATATATAATATCGCGATCAGATGATTTTTCGATTTTTATTTTTTATTTTTGTGAAATGAAATGCAATTACTGTATTGAGCTTGATTTTTGAAGTTAAAAAGAAATGCAATTTTTCTAGTAACTAGATGTTATTTAACAGCACTATAGAAACGAAAATGAGACCCCTAGAAACGACTGGGTTCTTTCGTACTAAAAATTGTTTTTTGGTGGGTAATAATGGTATTATGGTTTAGACAGGGTTTATGTAGAATTTGTTTACCGACCTCGAATTTGGGATTTTCTATTGGTGCTCTATTCTGTTTGTCATGTGGAAATGCTACATTGCGGATCTATTGAGTTTAGTTACAATGGCTATATGCGTTTGCCAGGATCCATCCATTTATTCAAGAAATTACTACTACTTGGTTGTTGGAATTGAGAAGGCAGTTTTTCCTAACTTTCCTACCTACCGAAGTAGTGATATTGATACTAAACAGTTTGCCGTCAATTTGCCTAAGTCCCCAAATATAAGGTTTGACTGTGGGATGTACTTCTGTATGGCAGCTTCATTGTCTCCTTTTCAAACCATGCTCCTGATCCAGAGAGGGACAGTGCTCTTGTACAGGAGTTCCTTGCCAACATGGAAACAGCTTTCAGGGCTCATCCGCTTTGGGCTGGTTGCTCCGAGGAGGAGCTTGAGAGTGCTGGTGAAGTAAGTTGATTGACTTTTACAGATGACATTTCATTACTATATAAAAACTGTGATATATTAGTGTTTCAGTATAAGTTAGTCAGATTGTTTCAAACAGTAATTTCTTGTTCACCAACCCTCCAAAAGAAAAAAAGAAGAAAAGTTTTATAAAAGGCCTATAACAGCAATCACTTTGTGCTTAACAGATGATAATTCTTATTGATGTTGATTTCTTACTTCTGGGCTTTCTTCAGGGACTTGAGAAGTATGTTATGACAAAGTTATCTTCCCGTGTATTTGCTTCAGTTCCAGATGACGTAGAAGTCGATAAACAACTTTATGAGAAAATATCCTTGATTCAACAGTTCATTCGGCCTGAAAATTTAGATATTAAGCCTACCTTTCAAAATGAAACATCATGGCTGGTGAGTTGATGGGTTTACTTAAACATCGATTTCCTTTTCGTGGCATGGATGATATTTTCCCTTCGCTCGCACTGGATGCAATTTTTAAATCCATGTTTGAACAATGGATGCGCTCCTGGCAGTCACAAATTCACAAAAACAAAAGCAATAGCAAAATCCTGGTGACATTAATTTATGCTTTATAAAAGAGGCAGAATTCCTCTCGTTAGCAAATTTTGCTGTTGAAACATTGTATGGATGATGCATTGTTGTTTAGCCTGCTCTGTCATCTCTCCTCTTTGTTTGACATAATACAAACATGGAATATATGTCTTTTTCAATTTATAGAATCATGCTTATTGTGCAAAGATGGAGGTGACCTCTTCTTTCTTTCCACTTTGCTAGGATTACTGATGTACTACATTACCTTATAAACCCTTAGTCTCAAAACCAATAATATGCAGGTAAAGAGCTACCTGCAGATGGATGCAATCTTGTTTATGCCTTGTGATGAGAAAGTAACTCCAAATAATTTTGTTGTGTTTGTGTTTCTTGCCAAGAACGCACGACTTATCAGTAGTAGTCAATTATTTATCTCAAATAACTAAGCCTTTTCTCTGAGGTAAAAGTAATGCATTCAATAGCATGAAATACTCTTGCAAAAATGTCCATTTGCAAGGTGTACAGGGCATCTGAAACTATTCATGCATATGAAAAACAACTGTTTGACAAACATTCATTATAATGGGCAAGAAATTTATCAATTCAAATTGAGTTAATTTTCTTTTATTTATTTCTTAGGAGCCTACTGTAACAACATAATGCAGCCTTGAATTTTATCAGTCATCTGTCATCTTTGATTTGGGAATCATCTTTTCTTGCTGTAATCCATTTTAGCAATAATACATGCTACTGCAATTTCCTTTTTTTTTTTTTTTTTTGTGGAAATCAAAAAATTGCCTCTAATTGTGTTTTGTGTCAGCTGATTGAATAACCAGAATAATATAGTTGACTGGTTTATGTTGTTTGGGGAACATTGTCTACAACTGTTTCTTACGCTTTCTGTAAATCTCTATCATTATTCGTAGTTATGAGTCTGTGGCAACCTGTAGTAATCAACTTTATTCCTGGGTCATGCCTCAATTATGTTCAGCATGGCCTTATCCCTTGTCTTTAAATTTATGTTGGCAGCTTGCCCAAAAAGAGTTGCAAAAGGTCAACTTATACAGAGCACCGAGAGACAAGCTTGTGTGTATCCTCAATTGTTGCAAAGTCATAAATAATTTACTGCTCAATGCCTCAATGGCTTCAAATGAGAATCCTCCTGGAGCTGATGAATTTCTTCCCGTTTTGATTTATGTTACTATAAAGGTGAGATAAACAACTATATTCATTAGATTTACTTAACATAAAATTTGAAATTGCCCTGAATTTTGCTTCCATAACAAAAGAACTAATTTGTTCTAACTGAACTACTCAATGACATTTCTAGAGGAAATTACTTGCCTAGATTTGAGGTTTTCATGGCAAGTTCTGATTTAAAATGCTTATGATCTCTAGGTTTTGACCATACAAGTTTTTTAAACCTTTGGTTGAAATTTAGGTGTTATGCAAATCCAAGTTTACATGCTTGAGAAGAGTTCATTTGTGTTATAGATTAATTGTGTGGACACAAGTTGATGTATTTCAGCTTCTGTTGATCTTTTAATCTGATTCATTTCAACATTTTGATCGATACCTGCCTTAAATTTGTTACTTGCTACCTTTATTTTCTCAAAACTCCAGTATAAAAATCAAACTAAAGAATAATAACCAATCAGATTAATTCTGTTAATGTGAATTCTCGTTATGCAGATATCGTCCTTTTGACTCTTGAAATGCCGAGTTTTTGCATTAGAACCATGCCTGAAAACATTAATGGATAGAATTCAATATTATTCTCAAGTAACTAAAAAGGCTTTTATTCCTTATTAACTCCTCTTTGGTTTGGCTCCATTTACAATGGATCTACATTTCATTTCATTCTCTACTAACCCAAAATTATGTTTCCATCTGCTTCACCAAAATTATGCAGGCCAACCCCCCACAACTGCACTCAAATTTGTTGTATATTCAACGCTACAGGCGTCAATGCCGATTAGTTGGAGAAGCAGCCTATTTTTTCACAAACATTCTCTCTGCAGAGTCTTTCATCTCTAACATTGATGCAAAATCCCTTTCAATGGAGGAATCTGAATTTGAAAAGAACATGGAACTAGCTCAAGACCTTACTGGCCTTTCAACTGATTTGAATGGTCTTTCTAACCAAAGTGATCAAAGTGCAGGAAACAATTCCAAAGCAGAAGTTATGGAATCCAAACATCGAGCTTTGAGCACTAGGAAGGAAAGGGACTCTTCTATTGGATCCAGATCTTCTGAAGCAACATCTACTAGTAAGGATGTTCAATATGCCAAAGATGAGTCACCGATGGAGATGATTTCGTCACTCTCAGATATAGAGAACAAAGGAGCAACTTTGCTTTTGAAGGACGATCTAGCAAGTCAGGTCTTTCGAGAATATCCATACTTGTTTGCCCATGTTGGTGATCTAACAATCAACGATGTAGAAGACCTACTAAACAATTACAAACAACTTGTCTTCAAGTATGTTTGTCTTTCTAAAGGGCTGGGTGGTGCTAATACATCTCTTCCTTTGTCTAGTTCTCAAACTCAAGTTCATGGTGATGCTGAAACTCTGAACTACCACCAAGATACCGCAGCAGTAGAGGCAAATAATGAGTCGCATAAACATACTGGCATGACCAGTGGTTCTAATACGGTTTCTCTTGTTGACGAAGAGGATGTCGAATTGAAGCCCAAGAACCATGAAGATACTAAAGCAGGAGAGCCAAATGACGAGTCACATATACATGCTGGTATGTCAGATGGTTCAAATATGCTTTCCCTTGGTGAAGAGAATGTTGCCTAAGCAGCAGAACAAGGTAATGATGCCTCAACATTAGGGGAAGGATGAGAATTCTCAATGATAGCCACCAGGACACACCTCAAGATGAGGAAAAGGATGAGAATTCTCAGCGAGAGCCCATCGGAACATGCCTACCAAGGGAGTAAAATGATTTGGTACAACAGTAGTCATCAGCGCTACATGCGTTCCCCTTTCTTCTTGTGAACGGATAACTATATTATTTTGATGTTGCAAAGAGAAAGTTATAACACTGTCAGTCAGTGTATAGCGAGAACTATAAGCAAAGAAATGGAATTTGATCATGCCTCTCTTTTTTACATCCGTCAAAAATCACTTCCCTGGAGATAAATATGGACTTATAAAAGCTCTACTCAGCAAAGTCTGAACCCAGAACACGTTGGAAATTTGTTAAATACTTGCAGTTGAACAATATGATGCATGCGAAAATTCGATGATTATTTTTTCGACTTCATGACCTGTCTGCTTAGCTCAAAAAAAAAGTTTTATTTTGTAGTTCTTTTTGTAATCTTTTCCTTTCTCGTTCTCGTTCAGGCGTCTGCGCAAGTGAGGATGTGATTGTACAGGAGGTTGTGGTGATGCTGGCTGACCCCTGAATCATGCCATTCCTATTTGTTTCTGTATGGAATATGTATTGGCTGCTTGACACCTTTTAATCCGGCTGCTTATCAAAGTATGGTCAAAGAGCAAAATTACTTGTATTCAAACCACAAAGCAACTACAGCGCTGCTTTGTGAATGAAGCAGAAAGAAGCTCCATGGTATTGACAGGCAGCTGAGAGCTGTTCTACTCCATGTATATCTTCATGACCAAGCGGTTAAGAGTCAATAGCAGATTTACACGATATGTTGCTGTATTTTTTCAATGAAGCAAAATCAAAGATAAAGTTGAATGCCATATCGATGTGATATAATCACTTATCCGTGGATTTGTCAAAGCTGGTGATCTCAAACTACGATCCTGATCAGCAGCGACAAAAAGTTGAAACGTTTTATCTTTTTTTTCCACACTGAATGACTGGTTACAGTTCAAAAGATGGCAACGGCAAATATGAGACATCTCCTCACCTACTTTGTTTGAACACAATTGGGATTTGGGATAGGACGTTGGTTCGTCTTCTTCCTGTTATACTTTCTATAAACTATTTTCTGGTAACTTCAATGATGTCAAGGCCAGTCACCTCCATTTGTGGAAACAACAAACAGGTAGTAGTGAATGTAGGACAAGCTACATAAACAACAAAAAACTAAATGTATTTAACTGTCTGGTGTCTTGGATACGATCTTCTCTGAATCTGGCCATCTGGGTCTTCTTTTTTTGCTTGTACATTTCAGGCTGCTTCATGGCAAGGCAGGTTATTTGGGTGATTCTTTCTCGTGCTCTGCACCTACCATGTATTTATATACTAGTAGATATAGGAGGTAGGAGGGGATGGAGGGGACAATCCTTTTAATTATTTTTGGACCTTCAATAATTTAAGGCTCACGTAGGTCAGGACATAGGGGGTTAAAAAGGCAAGTTATTGTTGTTGTCTCCAGTCTTTTAGGACAGCTCTGGCTTATATACAGAGTTTCTGAGCAGTTTCTCCAGTTCAGCTTTCACAAGTCCTGCCTTGCCATGTAATATGTGCTGAAATCAGGTAAAACCCACAAATGGTGACTGGACTACTTTTCAGTTCTTGTTTTCCTTTTCTCCTTTCGCAAGGTTATCATTTTAGGCACTCTTTTCTTTCACATGGCACACTGCAAACAGCATACCATCAGTCACTTCAAACCAGGTAATAAGACTACAAGTTAGAAGTCAAATGAAATGAATGGCATAATTAATGCATTACGAAAAATGAAAAGCCTTTCAATCAAGTCCATAAAAACAGCAGATTTAGACCCAAGACTAGGGACATGTGAATTGCAGGTCGATGGAAATAGAACAAAATTTGGTGGAAATCAAAGTGGATCTGTAGGAGGAAAATAATAATAATAATAATAATAATAAGGAATAGAAGGTCCTCTCCCCTCCCTTCACTTTTGGATTATATACCTAGTAATCAAATTAAAATTAGTATTAGAATATAATAATCTCACAGGCACAGCACCAGCCATGAGCAGCCAGCCAACATGTCGCTTGTGGCTTGTGAGGATGATAAGAGAGTACCAAATGCCCCTTTCACGTGCCTCACACATGCCTACCTATATGGCTTGTCGGCTGAGTTGTGTACATCCGCCTTCTTGGACGGTTTTATGCACACGTGATCTTGCATGTGATCGGTTCCTCCGTTTTGGTTTTAGTCACCAAATGGCAAATACTCTCGCTGCTTAAGGCGATACTGGCAATACCAATCCTATATCATTAATGGTTACGTGTGCTCTTTTCTTTTTTTTCCTCGGCAGTTGAATGATTATCTGTCCAATTAATTTGTTTATGTTAATTCTAAGAGTTATTACAAATTTACTTGTTTAAAATATGATGAAATGCATCAATGCAATATAATATAGGTAAAAAGAATGATTCTTCCATTATCAATCGGGTTTTGAATTCTGGATTCAAAATTTTCATGTACAAACGAGATCATATCATCATATATATATATATGATGAACATCTTTGAATGGGATTTGAAGAGATAGAGTGTAGATTTAAAATGAGCTAGGCATTAAAATGTTTTTGATTGACTTGGTAAGAAGTTGGAGCAAGGGATCCTGGTAGGAATAGGATGAAAACGACATCCGTAGATGTTTTGCTGATTACTTAGCATCTTAACGTTTGACTGATGGATGCATTTATCTCAATTGACTTGAAAATTCTGAGGACTAATTAATGTTAACTATTAACATGTTTAGCTATTTTAATCCAATACTGACTGGCACATTGACTATGGTAATTCTGCAATCATTTGCAAGAAAAAGCGACAAGTTAAATTAAATTCTGTTTAATTATTTTCAAGATGTGTGATGTATTGATACTGGGCAAGGACAACATTACCACCCTCTAGTGTAAACAAAGAGGGACAAAATAGGTTTTCCATTTCTTTTTTGTACTTTGTGTTTTTCATAAATCTATTAAATAAGTTCTTATTTTTTAATTCAATCAATTGAATATATGTATTTTCAATTTTAATCAATCGAACATGATTTTACAAAATTTATAATTTTTATATGTTAATTTGAATAAAAAATAATATAAATGTATAAAGCGGGACTTACATTTGGTATTTATATATGTATCTATATTATATTTTTATTCGAATTAATGTATAAAAATTATTAATTTTATAAAATTATACTTAAATTACTGAAATTAAAAATATATGTCTTTAATTGACTAAATTAGAAATACATGAGTTTATTTAATGAATTTATGAAGACATTGGGTACAAATAGCAACTGTAACCTTTTTTTTTTTTTTTTGGAACAAAATAACACTTCTATTTTCTATATACATTGTATTAGTTTTTGTAGTTTTGAGAAATTAATAAATTATTTTCTTTTGTTTTAAAAATTAATTATTTAATTATTATATTTTTAATTTTTTTCGTGGCTAACTTCTTTTCGTTTTTTTAAAATTATTTTAAATTTTTTATTTAAAAAAATAGAAAAAGAAAAAACAATATGTAAAAAAATATGAAAACATGGATCAGAAAAGATTACATTTTATGAGACAAAATCATATTCTAAATAATTAAGTTTTGAAATAAAGAAAATTAATTAATTTTTTTTTCGAAAATAGAGAGACTAGTTTACAATTTACTCTCCATTTATCTTTTTTTTTTTTTTTTTTTAAATAAATCATTTCTTAGGTTACCTACATGCTAATACGGACGATAAGGAGACAGAGAGGGGGTCAGCATATGATTTTACCAGCAGTAGCATGTAAACCTGGCATAATTTGGTTGGCTGTGGTATTTATTGGACAAGGGACCCTGAATAATTATCACCCCTATTTAGCTTGCTTTGAAGTTTGAATTACTCATACTGCAATGTACCAAAATAATGGCTCCTGTCTGTTCTTGTTGTGGCTGTGTGGGGGTGCAATTTTGAATAACGTTCAAGATATTTGAGTTCTGAATTCTGACTTCTGTCTTCTTCTATATTAATTTAAGTTTCTAAATTAGACTTGGTAAAACAGAAGAAACAAGGCAAAGTACATACACTTTAATAATAATTCAAATTAGACAGTGCTGACAAAATCAAGATAAGTACCAACGTATTGACATTATTCATTAGCCTCTTGAACTTTGAAAAACTCAGTCTCTCTCTCTCTCTCTCTCTCTCTCTCTCTACACGCTTATGAAAAACATAAAAACACGAGGAGCTCAGTGCTCTCTTTTCAACAACGCTTCCTTTTTCGCAGTCTTCAAAACTTTCTAGGCTTGTTGGCTGGCCTCTTTTTGTCTCTGTAAAGGCTTAAAAGAAAGACCAAGAGGAACATCAAGAAAGATCATGGGTAATAGGTACAACCACAATCTCCACAACCAAAACCTTCATCTCCAACACAAGAGCACATTCTTGCCTATGTTATGTTCAAGACCAACCATCAAAGATGTGACCCTTCCGAAATGGGAAGATCGATCCATGTCCATCTCTAGTACTGACCCTTTATCTCCGAAGATCGGTTGCATGGGGCAGGTCAAGAGAAACAACAAGATAGTTGGCTTCCCTACTTCTAACAAGCTCACAATCACCACCAAGAACAACACTAATGTCAAGTACTCCAAGCTCAAGAGGATCTTCTCTGGCAAGAATCTTGCTTGCACCACCACTTCAATAGCCACTTCTACTGCTCATAGAATTAGAAGAGATGTGATGATGAACGGAACAAGTGGACCCAAGAATATTGATGATAGTAAAGAGAATTCTGTTTCGGTTAGCATAGAAAATATGGATCCTCCTTTGCCTGTAATCAAGAAAGTTCAACAACCAACAGATGGTGGAGAAGTGAATAGTCTTTGGAAGAGGAGATCTGGTGGGCTGGCATTGAAGAATTTGCAGATGCAAGAGATTCAACTTAGTAGAAATAATCTTACACCAACCACTGTTTGATGAGCAACTCCCAGCAGCAGGGGAAGGTAACATAGAAAACAAACATAGGAAATGTATATGGTTATTGTATTTTTGAAGTTCAATTTTGCTATTATTAATTTCTTAATTCTGGGTCGTAAAAGCACACACAGTAAGGTGGACGGTGGTTTTGTTAAGGATGTCTATGAATTATCTGTCAATGGCTAGATCTATAGCCTTTTACTGCATTCCCCTTTTTTCGTGAAATTATCAATATTTGGATCATGTCATTTGATTTCCATGCCGGTAGTTATGGCAACTGGGTGTCATGGACATGAGCTTCCATTAAAGCTTAGTTTGTCAAGTCCATCAAATCACAAACCTAAAATCACAGAAAAGTAGGGGTGTGGGGATGGGTAGAAAGCTTTTCAAAGCATATATATGATCGTTGCTAGGTGACAATGGTGGGAGAGAAAATGGAAACGTATATTAATGTGGAGCTGGCGAGCACAGAGCACGTGTCTGTAGTAGAAACAGGGAAGTCAACATTCAAATATTTTAAACACCACTACACCACACAAGTCATGAATAGTGGGAGGGAGTTGGAAACAAATAGGACAAATAAGTAGCTATACCTATATATTTGAACACCGTAGCAGACTAGTAGAAAGCGAGAATAATGGGAAGGGTGAGGGAAATCATCTTCCACAAGTTTGTTATCTAGTAGAAAATACTACAAGACTTCAAATTATCAGTGCAAGCAGCCCGGTCGCGACGACGAGCGCATGAGACTTGGATTTCTTATCTACCATGTCCAAGGTAATGACATTCTTGCACCCACGCCTACGTTTGCGTTCCTTGCAAGACAAGACCTCCCTCCTAGCATCTCATGTAGGAAAAATGTATTAATACCTAGCCTGTGAAAGTCATAAATGCTGTTATTACTGCTGTCTTGCCAGAAATTTCTCGGATTGGTAAATAGGATCACCAGTGCTGAAATTTGGCAGGAGTCTCATCATGTTATTATCATATTCTCCAATGGCATTTTTGCTTCTTCTCTCTCTTTTTCTAGCAAAAGAAGTACGACCTTAGATCAATTTTTTTTTTTTTTATTATTATTATTAAAGTAAAGGCTTTTCAGTTGTTCCTAGTGCCGAAAAAATAACTGAGTTCAGCACTAAGAAAACAAGGTGCAGACCAAATTCCCTCGTCCAGGAGATTTTCAAAGCAAAATTTGAGAGGATAAAAACCTCCCTTACATTCGGCCCACTTCTTGAGAGAAAAAAACATGTATCAAATATCTGTTTTAAGCATAAAATCTACAAAATATTTTCGTCTATTTTAAGCATACAATCTACAAAATATTTTCGTTACAACATGTATGCCAGATACCAATCTGGGTAGTGTAAAAAAAGAAAAGATTCATTCACCACAAAGCCAAAGGCTCAGCCATCATTACATTCTCCTAATTTACTTTCCTAGCATCTACAATTATACAGCTAAAGGTACAAGTCGAAGCACATAGCAATCAATCAATAAGTTTTCAAACATCAACCTTGTTCTTTGTAAGGGGTCCAGATCAATTTGCTAACATCAACCTCAAGACCACCCCGACCAGCAGCTTTTAGATGGCGATCCAGGACCTTTGGATCCGCACAAATCACGTGCTGCCCTTTCCTATATTGAATCAATTCTAGGCTCTGCAGGGTAGTCAAAATATCCTCTGCCTTTATTGCTGTCATGTCACTGAGCTCCTGTAGGGAGCAGAGAAATCAGTCAGTGAACTATGAACATGTCCCCACTACAAGACCCAATTGCTGGGAAAATACGTGAAACAAATACGAAACTAATGGAGATGAGAAGATTTTCCTTTCCTTTTCCAAAAAAACCTTAAATAGAAGACAAATATAAGTAGAACTACACTTGCTATGCAGAGCATTTTATGGTGCCATTTGCCTTTGCCCTCAAATTTAATCAAACTAGGTAAGATATCAATTGGTTTCAAGGACCATCCGTGGACCAAGTGCCGCAGACGGACAGAAAATTTTCGAATGTCGCAATAGCTGACATTTGGACAGATGACCAAAGGTTGTCCAACATCCTGTCCAGTGTGATTGAATGTGGCCGCTTTTGGCCAACAATCAGAAGCAATGAAGGCAATAGCAAATGCCCTATGTAAGCCACCGACTCCTGACATTCTAATATTTCTTTTTTGTTCAAGATGTGTTACTGGCAACCAATCCTTATAATGCACCACCTTTTTAACCACCCTCAAGCATCAACTATGCACATACTCAAACACCCACAACCATTGCTCCAGCAAGATAACAGAGAGAGTTCCACTTTACAGTACAATTGTTGAATATTGAACTTCACTACAAAAGACAAGAATTTGCACAGAACGCTATGGAAAACAAAATGAACGGCCATGAATTTCTCAACACAATTTAAGTAGATAACGGAGGCAGTTGAACTGCATAAAGAACATTGTCTTCATCTCTCAAGAAAGTGCTTACCTTGATGGAAATATTGCCCTTGTGCTTTTTCAAAATGTCTAAAAGAACTCGGGTCCAATATCCTCTGTAGCTCAACAACCCCAGGTCTGAAAGGGGTCTTTCGGGTGTGCCGACTTTACCTTCTTTCTTGGAAAGTTCATATGCTGTACCATCATAAATGCACATCGATCAACTCCATATACAAAAAAATCTTTAAATAAATAGAACAGTTCCTTTGCGCATGATGAAAAGCTTCCCTTGATGCAAACAAGGATCTTAGAATTTGGAGTAAGCACTAGAAGGTGGATGTTCGCTGGATTATTCCATTATAGCTTTTGGATCCACTTAAACCACTATTGGGTTGTCAAAATTCAGACATTACGTCGTACACGTGATGACTTTTTTTAACATTACAGTGCCTTCCAAAGCAAAGGTCCTACATCAATGATTCTTGATAAAAAAATCTCCAACAGCAGATAGTTTGCTGGATTTAAGTTATCCACATTGATTTCTATTTGCAATGCCAGATTCTTATCTTTTCCAATTTGCATTCTTTTGTCTTGAATCATTTAGATAAAGCAGCATACGACATCTTATCTCCCAACAATGCTAATCCCAGCAATCCACCCCACCCCCACCAGAAAAGGACAAAAGAATGAAAATAAACACATAATCACAGTTCAATATATATAGAAACACAAGATGTTGGAAGGCAGAGAACTTACAGAAGGCAATTAAAAACTTCCCGTAGCCTTTCCTTTGATAAGGAGGAAGGGTGAGGATGCATGCCAAATTATAGGATTCCTCGGAATGCTTTTCCTGCATGATCATAAAATACAAGTAGCTACATTACCATTTAAAGTTTCGGAAAATATCAGAACCACGACTTCTAGGAATTCTATATCCAAAAATTACTCCACTGACTGATCAAATGTAATGAATGACAAGCAGATTTGCAAAAGTGAATTATCAAATGAATATCTGGTCCTTAAAGCAAATGAAGCTGATACAGAAAAGAAAAACAGATGGTTCACCAAGATATGCATGCCATGCTTTTCAAGTCACTTTGTTGTCCCTTAAAATACTTCACATAAGAAAGCACTGAGATGCAAATTTAGATGCATTATAGCATAAACAATTACAAGCAGCAGCATTTACCTTGGAAAAATATCCAACCATGTGGCATCCTCGATCATCACATTCACACAAAACGTAAAATAGAAACAGGTCAACATCGTAATAAAGGGTCTTGTGATCAAGAAACAACTTCGCCAAATAACAAAGATTCTGCCCATAAACCTTGTTCTTTTTGCCATCTATCTGAATAAAAAAAAAGGCGAAAGAAAAGCCAAATCAACTAGAGACTTTAGATCTGCAAAACTACAAAACAATAAACCTGTGTGATAGCGAAGATTGTGCAAAAAAAAAAAAAAAAAAAACAGGAGTGGAGGAGAAACTAGAATAAGAAACTGGATTACTACATTTTCAAAACCAAAGTCACTAACATAATCCTTCAAGGTGAATTGCTCATTTTGTAACTTGCGCAAAATTAAAATCAACTAGGTTGTGGAGGTCATAATTAATGTAGTGAAAAGAGTAGCTTATTAAAAAAAATGAAAACCACCAAACCGGGAAATAATAAAAGAAAGAAATCAATTAACAGAAGTACTAGCAGCCAATTATGTGCTATAACATCTGCGCAGGTACCAGCATAGTCAGAACAAGACATTTAAAATCAGAAGAGAGGATAACTCAGTCAACCTACAATCAGCAACATTACGACATACCTCAAACATTGATAATGTGCCACTTCGATAAATTTCATCACCAGGAGGGTGCTTGAGATCACACTTCTTCTACATAAACCAAACCAAGAAATTAAAAAAGACGATCAACGGCCTCATAGCATCTTATGACTGTCAAAAACAAGGATGCTGATTGGACAAAGAAAATGATCATCAAGAATCCAAATGAGTAAAACCATTAAAAAAAAAACTGTCACACATACTATTTGAAAATAGTGACATAAGCATAATCGGACCATTCACATGAGGAAGACCTAGTAAAGCTTTTTGTGAACTGGTAACTAGAGAGAACAAATTGTAGACAACAAGCAACAGCTCGAAACTTAGCTTAATGAAAACTAATTTTATGTCATCATGTCAAACAGATCAGTAGCAAGAGGCCAATTAAATGAAAAGAAGGGAGAAAATCAGGAAAATAACAGCTATGAGCAGACAGATCAAAGAAAGCTCAATACTAGCAATGTAAAACTCCATTTGGAACAGATATACCAAAATTTCAGCACAATAAATCAAGGCAAGTAGAACAATTTGAGGCACAGCTCACCATATGCCTTTGAAGCTGCTCTTTGCGCTTCATGAAATTGAGGCAAAATTCACAAAAGTACAGCTTCAGACAATCATTGTACTCTGGTGGGAAAGGTGAGAAGTACCACGTCTCAATCTCATATCTTCCAAGCTCAATGGTGGCTATATTTTTTACTTTTGTGAACTCTTCATGCTCGCGCAGGCTGGCAGCATCAAGCTCCTCGTGGCCCTACAAATTTGAGAATGATATCTTCAGATTACAAAATGCAAAACTTTTAATGGTGCTTTGATGAACCTATATACTTCAGAAGTTAATAAGAACTATGATAAAATTTAACAGCCAGCAGTTTGCTCTGTGGCTTATCCATCAATTAAAACATGACATTTTGCACAGAAAAAGGTACCATGGGCACCAGCGGTTGTGTGTGACATTCAGATGCCTGTTTTTGTTATAAATCACAGAACACATAAAAAGCCCATATTTTAAAAGGTAAAATTTAGGCAACATCAAATATGCTTAAGCTTCTTGCAAGAGTGATGCATCTCATTTTTTTCTCTTGTAAATAAATTGAAGACACGCTTCAAATGGTAAATGACTACCAAAATAATTCACGAAAGCAACCATAAAACAAACAGTTAAGAACAATTCAAACTTGCAAGATACCTCCACATGCGTCTCATCAATCTTCCGTTTCTGGTGGCGTGTCATTTTCAAGCTTGTTACCTGTAATATCAATCGCAACACTTTCTCCAATCATTTCAATAGAAAAGAAAGTAAGAAATAAATCATCGCAATAGCAAAGGAAGAAAGAAAATACTACAAGGAAGATTCTACAGAAAAAGGGTCTTAGAGATAGACAACATTTAAAGTCAATGGCAAGGAAAACATTGATGACTAATGAAACTGTAAAGCAACAAAACAATTACCTTGTCCTCCACCTTTTCATCAATAACAGTCTCTACTGAATCAAGATCTAGTTGTTCAAGTTTCACCCATTCATCAAGCCTCCTATTAACTGTCAAAGAGTTGGAAAAAAAAATAGACGTGAATAAATACAACTTCCAAAATCACTGCAGTGTGTGGTTAATAATCATGTAGAAAATTACAAAGCGATCACTCCAAATAATTAATTATCCTAACAATATTTACATAGATGGGATGCAAATCACATCTATTCAATAGTTGAACCGAGAGAAGAGAACAAAAATTATATCCTGACACTACAGAAAATCAGATGCCAGTCTGAGCGCTTACATTCATATGTATACATACCCCAAACTGTCGCACATCTTAATTTTTTACAGCATAATACTCAAATACCGAGCACAAACTTTTTACTGTTCCAGTTTTTCTATGGAATCAGGTGACACAATTCTATCCTTAGATGTGAAAGCAATAAGACCTTGAACATGCACCCTGAAGAACTCAAGTGAAAAAGCTAGAATTTTCCACCTTGCATAAAAGTCACAAGACTTGGATCTGAACATCATGACATTTTCCCTCCAACTGAGACAAAAAAAGCTGGATGAACGCTAGTATTTACAGATTCTTTATACACCATTCTTAACAGGTGTTAAGAAGAAGGAAACTCCAAAGAATCAGTTCTTTCAAAAAGACATTTTCCTTCAAATACATGACCCACATATCGCCCGTTCCTCTGGCCACCAATAAAACAAAGGGTCCATGAAATCATCACTATGCTAGTCGTACTATCCATCACCTCCAAAACTGAGCTGTGTCCATACCCTCTTTTCAAAATATCTAAATTCAGCAATTCCGACCAGTTTCCTACCCAATCATTTTCTTCCATTTCAGCAATTGCCCAAATCATATTCTTCATACCAACATAATTCGACATTATAAGTTGATAAACCAACTTAATTCACATTCTAATTTTCACTTGCATAATTCAGAGATTTGACTAAACCAATTCATAATTAAACAGGCAGGACGAGAAGAATCAAAGGCCAAAAGTGACTCCCACATCAATTAAACAAGTACCTGAATGCCTAAATTCAAATACAAAACCCTGACCCTAACCCTAACCATTGAAAACCCGCAATTGAAACCGACACTTACACTCCGTATAATGCACATAGTACTCGTAATCATTCGGCCCAGCAGACTGCATCTTACGGCGCTCGATGACCTTAACCGGATGGTACTTGCAGTCTCTCCAGCGGCACATAACACGAGTTCCTACCTCGAGCGGTAACATACTAGCTTTCCTCTTCTTGATCGCTTCGGATTCGACCGTCAGCGTCATTTCGGTGACACGTGGAGGCATTCCGTCGATTCCGTTAGGAGGATTTTGGTCGCCGCCGTACGTAGTGGAAGCGTCGGTGGCGAGAGGCAGGGTTGTGGAGCCGTTCTCTGGATTTTTGGGGGTGTCAATCGAACCCATTATCGGTTTGTGATGAGAAAATGAGTGGGCTCGCGAACCCTTTACAAGAATAAAGAGGTTTGAGAGATCTTATGTAGGCTTCTGGGCCCATGGTTGTTGATCTCTCTTTCTTCTTCGGATTACAAATATGCCCCTGAAACCTTTTTCTTCTTCTTCTTCTTTTTTTCACTTATGTTGGTTTTTATTTCCGAAAAACTAAAAAACCAATTACTGTATTACTTTCTTTTTCTTTCTTATTCTTCCTGCAACATTATAATTACTTGTATTCATTGATGTTTGATCTTCCTCTCTTGTATTCATGTCCAAATGAGATTGTAAAAAGTAGTTTTTTTTCCTCTAGTTATTTCACTTTTTTCACTCCATTTTGATTCCTCTCTTCTTTTAATCTCTCTCAATCTCTATCTATGCGTATGTGATGGATTTGAATAAACTTTTGAATTTAGTTAATAAATTAAGTAAGCATTTAACTCGATGTTCATTTAGTAGACAAAAATATTAAAAACAAATAAAAAAAACCATTTTTATGATATATTACAAGAAATAACAAACATAAAATAATACTATTAAACTGAAATATATACAATAAAAGGTCTCGATCAGCTTTAAAGAACTGAAATAGACTATTATCAACAAAACAATTACAAAATGCATCATTATATAAGATTATTGCTTTCTCAGTCACCTATGTTACATCATCGGTTCATATTGAAATTAAACAATTGATTATGATTCAAATTAAAAAAATATATATTTAACCCATGTGTTTTTAGTAAAATAATTAGTCCATCCATTTAATTTAAAAAACATAATATTGAATCTCAATTTTTCTATTTGGCTGGGACTTAGTTGTCATTGAGTTTTCAATAGCAATTTAATTGTTTTGTCCCTAAAATATCCTTCATTGAGTTTTCCATAGCTATTTAAATGTCTTTCCCCTAAAATGTCCTTCATTTATAATCAAATTTTACTGTCACCAACTATAAATAAAATCAAAAATCTATTTAAAAAGGGAGTTCAGAATTTTAAAAAAGAATTGACAATTAACTTGGCTGAGGGACTAACAAATTCACTTTCTAAACTTGAGGGACCGACTTAAAAATCATAAAAACACCAGGAATAGTTATAATACACTTAAAAAAAAAAAAAAAAATTCATGCCCTGAAGATCCCACGTAATGAAAACAACTTCATCTGAGGAAGGAAGCATATTTCGCCTCAAATATGAAAAATATTTTACATGTAACTTTTTATTGCAATATGTCTCCATCCAACAAAGTTTTTGTGTTTAATAAGCAATTACATTAAAACTATGATGGTGATGAAATGTTGCTGGAATGATGACCCGAAGACAGTGACACCGATGGAATTGTGACAGAGCAAGGTTGTGGTGATTATAATGACCACCGCGGTGGTTGTAACAATAATAATGTATAAGTGGTAGTCTAAGAATCATAATTTTAAAAAAGACCATTAAATAGCGTAACGGTCATTATATAACGATAACGAGACACTTCGTTACTGTTTTTTAACGTTATAGGTGCCTAGATGTCTTTTCACATCTATAACGACAAATAACGTCGTTATCGTTACATAACATCGTTATTTTTCATTATATAACAGCGTTATTAAAAAAAAAGCTAGAATTTCAGCTGAAGTTTTCAGCGATTTTAGCTACTGAAATTCGAGCAATGACGAGAGACAAAGAAGCAGAGAGGATGAGAGGCAAAGAAGGAGAGAGACAAAGATGAGAAGCAAGCAGAAATGAGAGGTAGAAAGGCTGAGACAAGGGACAGAGAGAAGCTTTGGGCGGTGATAACCGATAGAGAAAAAGAAGAACTTGAAAAAAAAATACTTTTATTTTGAAATGGAGCAAACCCACGTGCAATTTAATATCAAAAACCTGCTTTTGCAGGTTTTGATTGAACAAGTTATAAATTAGTCCTCTTATTTTGAAACGATAATTTAGTTAATACTTCTATTTCAAAAATCAATAATTTATTTATTTTGTTCATTTTATATTTATATTTTATTTTTATTTTTATATTAAAAAATAAAAAAATGAAAAAATAAATTTATACCATAAAAAAGAATGATGAAAAAAATATTTTATTAAATAAAATATTAAACTTTAAATATGATCAACACGATTAAAAGATTAATTAATTAGTTTTTAAAATATTAAAGCTAATTTATTCATTTATCAAAACTAGAAGGATTAATGTATGAGTTAATCTTTTATTATTCTACTTTGATTGTCTTGCATGTATAAATTCAAAGGTTGAAAAGCAAATCCTGCTTTAATTAAATAAATTATAAATTAGTCCTTTTAGTTTGAGAAAATAAATGAGGTAATCTTTACTGTTTTAAAAAATTATTTTTTTTAATTTTATATTATTTTCTAATTTACTTTTCAAAACTAGTTATTGTTGTAACTTTGATAGACAAGAATCACAACATCAATAACAAAATAATAACTATTATTATAATTTTTACTATGATTATTTTAACTATGAATATTTTGTAATGTGTTTATTAATTATAATGTATTTTTTTTTTGTGATATTTATCTATTAGAAGTGTTATTAGCTATTTTTTGTAATAAATTTAATTATTATTGTATGATATTAAACTATTAGAGATGTTATTACTTATTAGTATACTTAATTAATGAAACTGTTAAAAATATATGAATTAGAATAATTTTATTAACGATTGCTAATATATTCACGACATCGTTAGCCGCGATCGTTATTTTACTACCGCAATGAGCCACTATCCGCGAACGCAATCGCGACCGTTTTTTCAATTACGATCGCTATTTAAAATTATGCTAAAAATAACGAGTTTCCATGAGTTAGATTTTAAGTTTATATCCAATCTATTATCCATCAGTTAAGAAATTTAAATGTTTATATTCAACTCATAAGATTTAGAATATTTATTATACGAGTACTGTTTATTATTTAATATAAAATAAAATCATAACATTTATTTGAGGTACATGTATATATACATATATATCGATTTTAGATTGAGTTTGACAATATTCATACTTTATCCGTTATCCAGCGTATAAAAATTTTGAATATCCATATCAGATAATTATCCACAAAAAACTCTTATCTGTTCGTATCGATTAGCATGATATCCATCAAGTTTGGGTTAGATTGTGGTCGTGGAATAAAACGGTGATGATGAAGGTTAAGAGTGATGGTGCTTGTTGTTGCAATGATGAACCTAGGGGCGGTGGTGGCAAGATGAGAGATGACGATGGTGATTGCTACAAAGGAGGAGGTGACAGAAGAGGAGCGGTAGCAATTGATGGTGGAATGTTGTTATCGTGATATTGGCGTAAATATAGGGATGGCGACAACAGTAACAGCGGTGGGATGTTGAAAGCAAAGTGACAATGTAGTGGTGGCGGTTCAAATAATTAGATAATAATGTATGCAAAAAATTTTAAGTTGATTAGTTTTGTAAGCTTCTATGAGTTGAAAATAATTTCCTACCGACCAAAGTACAATATTATTAAGGAAATCTAAGAGACATTATTTTCGGCTAACAAACACCCCCTTGAAACAATTACTTCTTTTGTTTTTGCAAAATGACATCTCTTGTATTTTCAATAAGGAACTTAATTTCATTTAATTTTATTTTTTAATCACCTCTAATAACAACATGGTAAGAAATATAAAAAAAACAAAAGGATAAAAGGGAATTTCCTTTACCACTAAATAATACTCTTTCTATCCCAAAAAGATTCTTCTTTCTATTTATATCTATCTTAAAATAATTATCTAGTCAAAACTTTAAATATTGTAGTTTACTAAAATATCTATAAAAAATTCTTTCTTCTATTTTTTATTTTTAACTAACTAGAAAATCAATATTTTCAATAAGAAATTTCATTTCATTTCTCAATCACCTGGAACAGCATGATAAGAAATATATAAAAAAAAGGATAAAAGAGAATTTCTTTTACTACTAGATAATACTCCCTCTGTTCCAAAAAGATTCTTCTTTTTATTTATATTAGTTTCAAAATAATTGTCTAGTCAAAACTTTAAATACTATACTTTACTAAAATACCTATCATAAATTCTTTCTTTTATTTCTTATTTTTTACTAACTAGAAAATCAATACTTTTTACACTTTTTTTTTCACACTTTTTTTTAACATAATTTTGTTTTTTGAAAAAAAAAAAAAAGGAACTCTTCACTACGTAAAAATTTAGGATTCCTCAACGATCTTTAGATCTTTCTAAAAAAATTCAAGTTATTTTGAGGTACAAAAATTTCGATTTGCCACATTGATTTTGGAACTAATTTTTTAATATAAAATTTCATGAAAATTTTAAGAAGGCTTAATAATCTCTAGATCTTCCTAAAATTTTCCAATTTACATTTATAGAGAAAAATCTTACTTGGATACCTTGTTTTTTGGAACTAGTTTTTTGACTCTAAATTATATGAAAAATTTAGGATTCTTTAATAACATTCAGATGATTCTAAAAGTTTTTCAACTTAAATTAGAGAGGAAGGAATATCTTGATTTTAAAAGGACTTAATAACAGCACTTTGAGACAAAAGGAGTTACATAGTTGGATTAACAGGACCTGGCACCAATCAGAAGCCATGATGACAAAGAAAAGGTCAATTCCAACAAAAGAACTAAAACCTGTGGGAAATAAACCTGTGATTGAAACACTGAAAAGCAACAGATAATGAGATCGTAATTTGAAGATAACTTACACGCTCCATCAAACTAAACGAGCGAAATTTCTTTGAGAAATGATGCTGAGAATATTTACATCGACTTTACAGCGCAAGCACAGCAGGCAACACCTTCTAATTCCTTGGATAAAGATACAAGAAGTGTTGCTTTCCAACAAGAGGGACAAGCATCAACATAATGAAATGTGAGCCGCTTGTAATGCATGTAATGGAGTAAACCCTCACCTAACTGTACAGTTACTCTCATGATGAATATACAACGACGCTGCCAGAACTTCCTCAGATTCCAGAACATTACAGCCAGCCACGCTGATAAACAATCCAGAACCCAATCTTGGCATCATTCTGCCATTACCCTCTCTTAAATCAGGTAAATTTGGTAGCTCCAGGCAGAAAGCAGCTGTCCACTATAGACAGCTGTTGATCAGTGGGCAAATCCAAGATCCAGATATTGTCTTCATCTACCCATCATGTTCCATGGGTTCGCCAGAACATGCATCCCGATTGATCTGCTTCTCCTTTGGAAGGCAATCGACAGGAATATAAAAATATCCTTTAGGTAACTTCTGGTTCTTCATTGATGCTTCATCTGAAGTCATTACCAGCTCTTTCTCAAAAGTCTCATAATGCTGTTAGTTGATATGGTGGTGAGTATTTGTCTGAATTTAACCCTAACAGAGAAATCCTAGTGAAACAAAGCAGTCAATGATGCAGAAGGAATACATACCTTTGATTTTGAGCTCCATTCTCCCTCATCCAAAAGATTACCTGATGCAGAGGAAGGTCTTTGAGGCATTTGCTTCCCGGCAAAAGGCATCCTCTCAGAAGGTTTTGGAGTAAAAAGGTTTTGAGACGTGGAGCTGTCATCTGTCTTTTGATCAGGGTCCATGGTCAAAGCCACCTTAATTCGGTGCTTGACAGAAATGGTGCTGTCTACTGTTACATCATCCGATCTTTGGACTGCATCGCTGCATGACTTGTACCCATCAGTATTCCCTTTGAGGGATGTTGTAGCTGATTCTGAACTAACATCTGTAGGGAAAAAGGGACTACGAACAAGTACCGAACGAGCAACTTGGTCTCGTTTGCAAGCAAGTATATTGTGTGAGCATAAGACCAACTCCCGCTGCAAAAACAATTCCATGTAAAAAGCAATGCAACAGAAGCAGATATTTGCCAGATAATGGGTTGGTGGTGGTGGTGGTGGTGGGTGGGTATGGGGGGTGTTTCTCCAAACATATAAACAATACAGTTTGGCATACTTTCACTTGGTCCAATGCCTAAATATCAAGGAAGAGTGAGGGAAAAAATCCACCCTAAGAGAGAAATATTGACCTCAACAAAGGATGCAGGAGGAAGTTCAAGAGAAAAAAATAAGAAAACACAGAACTAAAAGGAACACCTTCTATGCAGCATTTTCTTAGCTGACTTGACTGCATAGTACTGGGAGAAAATTAAAAATCACATGGAGACTACTTTGCTGGTTCTGAGAAAGTTACCTTTATTTTTTCACGTCTGACAATTCTTTCACAAATAAGACGTAATCTCTCCAGTTGACCCTATCGAAGAAAATTTAGAAATAAAGTTAATTAGGTCACTGTAATTCTATCCCCCAATAACATGATTAAATCTTTACTATAGTACAGTTACGAACATAAGAAACGAAGCATTGACTATGAACTTCCCATAAGCACAACATGATTCACATCGGGAGAAATTGCTTAATGTTTCACCAGATTGCAAAGAAGTAAAGCCATGTCTATATTTAAATCAACATCATGAACCAGTAGTGAGAAATTAATAATGCCAAGGAAAAAAAAATGCTACCAGGACTTCCATAGAAAATAAGACCTCAATCACGCAAAAAAAAAAGGTTCCTAGCAATGTCATGACAGTGTAAAACGTTATATACTTAAGAAGAAAAGTAATGTTTTTAACTTACATGAGCATGTTTATGCCGTATATGCCTGGAGGATAGAAATTTACATAACATCTGTGGCACTCAAAGTTCTAAGAAAAACATTTTCTATTCAATTTTACAATTCAGAAGGCTAGATGAATTCCAAAGAAATAGTGCAGCACAGTAACAAACAATCACCAAAAACATACAAAAGTCATTGTATATATATATATATATATATATATATATATATATATATATATATATATATATATAGTTGAACCAATCTTTGAACAAGAAACAATAGACCCAAATAACCAATTATCATCCACCTGAAAGAAAATTATACGATTAATCAGAATGCATTCTTACCCTGACTTGCCTCATGCTCTTTATCTCCTCTTCTCCATGTTTTTGAGTTTCAGCCTATTCAAATCAACCAATGAAAATAATAAAATGACAAGAAATTAAGACATTTTATGTACAAACAACAAATTCAGACCTTTGCCTTCTGCTCCAAGCTATGCTTTTCACAGTATGCCTTGTGCTGCATCTTGCCATTAAGAGTCTTAACATTCATGTAAAAACCAGCACTTCTAGCACAGGTTGGATGAAATGTGGTTTGACAGTGACCAGCACTACACTGCACATATAAAATTGCAGTTGATTAAACCATTAATATTTCTATTACATATGACTTTGATGCTATAGAAAAACATAAGTTCTGAAACAATCGAAGCTGGAACTCACTTTTATGCAGACACCATGTCTATGACGGCAGATACAACAAATGTTAATCTCCTTTGCAATTGTTTCCTGGAATTTCATTGCAGATAGCAGTAAAAATCAAATATCAAAAAATGGTCATAAACATGCATGGTCAGAAATAACAGATTAAACTCTGCATATCATATTCCATCCCAAGAAATCTTCAGAAATACTTGTGTTTAAAGACTCAAAACATTTGACAATATGGCCACCTGAGATCTGCACATACCATTCCTTCAACAGGATTTACTTGTCCCCTTCTGAATGTTGGTTCAAAAACCCACTACAAGAAAATATAGATAAAATAATCATAATTGCACTTCAACAAAGATAAGAAAATGAAATCCCAAATCAGGCCATTGAAGGGTCAAAGCAAAAGACCTCTGCACAAAAGGCATGAACCCATCTACCATCAGTAGCTTTCCTGAAAGCGCCAGTAATACCACCACACAAACCACATTCAGCACCATTTTCCCTGTCCCAAAAATTGACAGGAGCTCCAGAGCATCTAGATGACAATAATTCTTCACATAATTCACAATGCCATGGACCAGTAGATTCCTTCACACAACGATAGCAATCCAAGTGAACTGCAACCTGTTCGCATAAGAACTTTTGTTAACAAGAAGCAAGCAAATAGTGCATTGTTAAGAGGAGAGATCAAGGTTCACTATAGAAAACCTTGCATCCAGAGCAGACTAAGATAGGGTTCAGTATTGTCTCAAATCGTCTGCATATATCACATGATCTAGGATAATCTTTAGAAAAGTCTGAAACTGACTGAACAAAATCAGAGTACTTCTCTGATGAAATCCTTGGAATAGCCACCCTTGAAAGCATTTCTTTTGGACGTGGCATCAACTGAGAAGAAATGCCAGCCCTCCCATTAGAAGTATTATATTTCTGGAACCAGGTCAAAATTACAAGACAGATTACTGTATCAAATAATTGCTAGCTTCTCTTGAAGACAAGAAAAAAGAATCCAAAGGTAAAGACAGAAAAAAAAATACCTCCTGATGAGCAGATTCATCAAAGGCATCTTTCCTAAATGACGAAGTCCGAGAAGAAGCTGCTGCTGCAGCAGTTGCAGCAGCTAGAACAGCTTGGGCTTCCTTATGCCTTCTTTCTTTCCTGCCCTGCTTCTTTGCTTCTCTAACATCACAAAGATACTGGTTAACAAGCACTTCATCCCATCTTTTCCCCCTAGCTGCGTCGATCTCCTGGGGTAGATGCCTAGCAACCTTAGATATTAAATTATCTGCAAGCACAATTCACCAGAAAAAAAATGTCATGTAGATGTATGTATCGATTTCAAGCTATTTTTTTCAAATAAATTGGGATGGAGTATGAGAACAGTACCAAAAATGGGGAGGGTAAAAAAGGGACTAGCATATTTGAAAAAACAAAAGAAGATAAAGGAGAAAAGGAAAGGACCAGTAAAGTGCTTTCTTGCAACTGCATTGCCAAGTAGCCTCTGCTGAAAATACATAATTTCTCCTTCCACTTCGTCCACTGGAGACAGTTTGAGAATTCCCAATTTCTTAGCCTTAGCCAGCTGCTCTAGATTTACTTCACTGGAATTACAGATCAAGTCATCGCACTTTGAAAGTTTATTCTGATGATTACAGCAGACACTAGCATTGGAAGACGCCTCCAAACGAGAGATTTCTCCATCTTTTGAACCTGTCCAGTGAGGTATGCACATAATAAGATGCGTGAAAAATTAAAAAGCTTGCAATTATAAGCAATAAAAAGAAGAGAAAATTCTTGACCATCAAATTTTCATGTTGGCGTAATTTCTACCTTCAACTCCAGAAATTCCTTTTTGTAAAGGAATTCCACTTTGTATCCGTGACAGCTTCTCATGGATACACGGATGGACATAAAAATCAGAATATTCTTCTGGCTTTCTGCAGCAAATATATAATTTTGCATAAGATCTCATCAGATATTGTTAAATCAGTGTCCAATACTGAAAATAGAACCTTTTTGGAGCTTCCAAAAAATATCAGGCAGCACAAATTTCTACGTTTACAAGCTTTCACAAATCTTACATGAAATTAGGGATGACTAAATCCGAATAGACAGGAACTCTCCCATCTGTGTTAATTGAATTACTGTTCTCTGGAATAGCAGCATGGACTGTTTCGTTTTTTTCAGAAAGGCTTCCACCTGAGACATTATCTGAACTGCTTGAGCAACAGAAATATCACAACATATTCACTTTCATACACTAAGGACAATCTGAAAGTACACAACATTTACGACCTTCTATTTTCTTTTCTCCTTCCATTTTTTTTTTCAAATGTTTATAAACATCTCTGCTTCAATCTCCAGCTTTTAATATCATGCAATCATATTGAGTAACATTTGAACCAAGGAGCAAACAATACTTGACAACAGTAATCAAATGAAAATATCTTGATATACATATTGCCAGCCATGAAGAAAGAAAGGGATAGAGGAGAATGAAAATTCCACTTCCTCAATTCCTCAAGATGAGGTGGATACTTGTCATCCTTCTAAAATAAAAAGAAAGACTAGGGATTTCCAATCCCTCCAGAATAAAGACAGCAAGACTCCTCAAAATTCCCTCGCTAACATACTCCCTATAGAGTTAAAAAGAGAGAACAAATATTTACCCATAACAATTACCTCATGATTGATCCTTGAAGATTCTAAAAATAACATTTCCCCAACCAAAAAAAAAAAAAAAAGAATCACACATTTCCACGAGATTATACAACCTTCCTGCATCAAGCCTCAAAGTAAGTGCATACGTAAGATTTCCTTCTCAATTTAGTACCCACCAAAAACTCAATAACAAAGGACGAGGTCTTGCAAGAGAAGTTCGTGAATCAAGTCAAACATAGTGTTAATTCTTGTACCTAAATCATCATGTTATTCTGTAGGAAATATCGAGATATAATTAGATAGGAAATATTTTGTATATTCTTTCCTCTTCTGTAGGGATCCTAATCTATCTTCCTATTCTTTAAGAATTCTTTCCTATCTTAGGACTTCTATGTGTGTGTGTGTGTGTATATATATATATATATATATATATATATATATAGTTGTGTAATTAAAAACATACTGAAATTATTTTCCCAAAATTTATTTTCTTCATGGTATCAGAGCCCTAGGGTTTCTCCAGGGACAATTGTTAAAATCACAGCCTTCATTGCTGCACTTATCTCCTACTTTTTTCTGTATTACGTTTTGCCCCCCTACAATGGCCGACACACAACCTTCAGAAACCAAAGCTCCGAATTCATCTGTGACGCCGATTCCATCGAGTGACAGAGATCAACCAAGCCAGACCAATCTGGATTTTCAGAATGTTCAAGCTGCTTACCGATTGAATGGAAAAAACTATCTCAAATGGTCTCAATTTGTTCGAACCTTCTTGAAGGGAAGAGGGAAGATGGGGCATCTGCTAGGCACCAGACCAGAAAGGGGGACAGCAGGCTTTGACGCTTGGGATGAGGAAGATTCGATGATTATGTCATGGCTATGGAATTCAATGATTCCAGAAATCAGTGACACTTGCATGTTTCTTCCCTCTGCAAAGGCAATCTGGGATGCTCTCAATCAAACTTATTCTAAAGTTAACGATGCAGCCCACATTTATGAGATAAAAACCAAAACTGCAGCAAGATCAATCACTTGTACCGAGTTCTGAACCTGAGGTAACAATTTCTAATATTTTTTCTCCCTTATCAGATTCTACACAACCTGAGACTGATCTTGACAAACCTATATAGCCTTAAGGAAAGGAACACGCAACTGCACAAAACCACTTTTATACCCACTGGCCAATTTTGTGTCTTTCAATAATGTTTCTCAAAATCACCGTAGCTATCTGTCCACATTAAATTCAATTGTTATTCCTAACTCTTTGTCTGAAGCTTTATCTAAAGAAGAATGGAGACTTACCATGACTGCAGAGATGGAAGCACTGGAGAAGAATGGTACTTGGGAATTGGTGCCGCTGCCTCGAGGGAAGAAAACAGTCGGCTGTAAGTGGGTGTTTGCGATGAAACTTAAGGCGGATGGGTCTTTAGAACGATACAAGGCCAGACTGGTTGCCAAGGGTTATACTCAAACATATGGGGTCGATTATCAAAAGACGTTTGCTACAGTAGCAAAGATGAATACAGTGCGAATTTTGTTGTCATTGGCGGTCCACTTTGATTGGGAGTTACAGCAATATGATGTGAAGAATGCATTTTTACATGGTAACTTGGAGGAAGATATTTACATGAGCATTCCACCTGGTTTCAGTGGCAGTGATGGGAATCAAGTTTGTAAACCCAAGAAGGCGTTGTATGGTCTCAAACAATCGCCCCGTGCTTGGTTTGGTCGGTTTACTCATGTGATGCTTGCGAATGGATACAAACAAAGCCAAGGAGACCACACTTTATTTATCAAACACACTGCTTCAAGGGGAGTCACAATTTTGATTGTCTACGTTGATGATATCATTGTAACCGGGAACGATGAAACAGAGAAAGGAGTGTTGAAGCAGTGTTTGAACCAAGAGTTTGAAATTAAAGACCTTGGGAGATTGAAATATTTTCTTGGCACAGAGGTGGCTCGGTCTAAGCAAGGAATATTCATCTCACAACAAAAATATGTTACTGATTTACTCATGGAAACCGGGATGACAGCAAGCAAACCTGCAGCAACTCCAATCGAACAAAATCATCGATTAAGAGAAGCTTTAGGTGATAAGAAGGTGAAGGAAATGTATCAATGTCTCGTAGGAAAACTCATCTATCTTGCTCATACTAGATCAGACATAGCTTATTTTGTGATTGTTATTAGTCAGTTTATGCATGATCCAAGAGAAGTTCATCTACAAGCTGTTTACAGAGTTCTTCGTTATTTGAAAGCTCACCCAAGCAAAGGAATTCTGTTTAAGAAAAAACAGAATATTGATCTAGCAGTTTACACAGATGCTGACTTTGCAGGTTCTCCAGTTGACAGAAGATCGACTACAGGATACTATACTTTTGTTGGAGGAAACTTGATATCTTGGAGGAGTAAAAAGCAGGATGTGGTTGCACGATCAAGTGCAAAGGCTGAATTTAGAGCAATGGCAACGGGTATATGTGAACTATTGTGAGTGAAAATCATCTTGGAAGATATGCAGGTTGAATGGTGAGGTCCAATGAAGCTCTACTATGATAATAAATCTGCCATCAGTATAGCGCACAATCCAGTGCAGCATGATCGAACTAAACACATAGAGGTGGACAGACATTTTATTAAGGAAAAGCTCGACAGTGAATTAATTTGTACTCCATATGTTCCTACGGATCTTCAGTTGGCGGATGTTCTGACAAAAGGATTAAACAGTCATGCATTTCAGGAAAATATATGCAAGCTGGGAATGGAAGACCTATATTCACCAGCTTGAGAGGGAGTGTAGGAAATATCGGGATATAATTAGATAGGAAATATTTTGTATATTCTTTCCTATTCTATAAGGATCCTATTCTATCTTCCTATTCTTTAGGAATTCTTTCTTATCTTAGAACTCTCTATGTGTATATATATATATATATATATAGTTGTGTAATTAAAAACATACTGAAATTATTTCCCAACTATTATTTTCTTCATATTCCACAATATTTTCACATGATCTATAAGCTTTGACACATTTCCTTGAAAGCCAAAGATGGCTCATTTTTAAAGATGGCAATGTCATTGCTCTTATGTACACCAACTTCACGAGTGGAAAAGAAACATGATCTATAAAATTTAACTATATCCTAGACTGTCCAAACACTCATCCTATTCATGCAACATTCAAACTTAATTATATCCTTCTATTCTTTTTCTAGTTCCTCTCTAAGCTTCTTATGGAAGGTGGAGGTTTTGGAAGCAATGGTTGTAAACTAATTAGAAAGTATCTAGTTAGCTTCCGCAAAGGGATAGAGCACTCCCTTTTACACCAGGAATATTCTTGTTCTTTTCTCACCCAAGAAGATAAAACATCCCCACGAAATAAATCCACTAAGACAGTTGGGACATAAAAAGAACAAAAACCTGCATGGTAAAACAGCCAACAGCCAAAGAGGATGCTTTCCTAAATTATCAGCGGCAGAAGCTTTGCTCTATTGTTAAGACTATACGTTTTCAACGTCAAAAAAGGTAAAGAACAGGTTGAGAAAGTTGAAGTTTTCTTCAAATCAACTGATTTCCAGGATATTATCCAGTAAAAAAATTAATTGGCTTCTCAAGTTAAAAAGAAAAAGAAAAAAGAAGGAAAACCTCACACATATTAAAGTAGTCCAAGCAAGACCAATTAAACAAGATATGGCAACCTTCTCCAATAGAAAGGGCGTTAGTTTGAAAATAAAATATAGTAGGCGATTCTAGAAAGTATACCTTCACATTTAGGCAAATGCGCCACCGAAGAGTCTTGAAAAACATCAGGGATCTGCATAAAAAATAAATTAATAAAAAAAGCAGAAATATTATTAAAGAAAAAAGGCAAGCACAAAGGATATACTATATACACACTCAAAATCACCAAATGGTGAGTAGAATCTAAAAGCAAAAGGAAAGAACAGAACGCAAAGGCAGGCAAATTGGATCTCAGTACAAATTTGCAAATGGCAGTAACTTCCACCACTGTAAAAGATAACCACAACCCACTACTTCTCACTCCTACAAAGATGGTATCTTAAAGATGATAAGTGATTCAGAAAAGGAAAATGACAAATTATACCATAATCAGCATCTCCCAGTCCAACATAAAATAAACCCCACTGCTTCCTCTTATCAACATCAATACAAACCTTCTGAAATGTGCACATAAAATGTTTAGTGAATGGGGATGACATCAACTCTATGTCATACAAACCTCAATGAGAAACCAGGAAATGTACATAAAATAACATAATGGCTCTTCGTAAGGATTCCAGTACCCTATCTTCTTATGAGACAATGCAGCATTGAGCACTTCAATTGCTCAATGCTTCTTCTCTTTTATGGCAAAAACAAGCCTTTTATGCTTATCATGATGTAAATAATTCATCATTTTTTATGCATATCAAGATGTAAATGATTCATAATTTAAATTTAGCAGTTCTTATTCCCTCCTTTTCTATTTGCATATCATGCATAAGTTGCCAAAACTTCCTTTTAGCTTGTCTACTTGTAGTGTCATGACAAAGCCTTCATCAGTTCTACATTTTTAAAAGTGTAAATACCATCTATAATTTAACAAATACAGCTGAATATATGGATCCTTCAGCAATCCAGACAACATATGCACAGGTCACAACTGCCTTTGCACACAAATGATAGTTGAACAATTTGGGCTGAAACAATAAATAAACAAAAGAACACATGCAGTCTACTAAACGAGCAGAACAAATTGCTGAACAATCAATAACTAGGAAATGAAAATAGAAGCATAACCTATCAGCAGAAATGGAATAGCTTCAGTTCCTAAAACCCATGTCTTAAACTGACAAATTAAAGACGTAGAAAACCTAATATTTACAGAAATGAACCACATAAATGGCAGATGCCTCTATCATCAGTTTTGCAATTGTAAACAAGCATATACTATAAATGGGAGAAAAAAAATCTAACTAGACATTGATGAAAACTACAATTTGTTAATTCATACTTTCGACAAATTCAGGTAAATGAAAATATAAATATAAATACTATACATTTAAGTATACGAGATTTGAAAGAAGGCTAGTGCTGAAGTGTGATAGCTTCTGCATTCTGCCTCATACAAAAGGGAAAAAATGAGTTCATAGGTGCCACCAACAATGGAGTAGTTACTGAACAAGACTGCTGCAAGGGACATATGGAAAGTCAATTTTGTTCTCAATCACTATGCTACAGGAGTTTTGGAGGTGTTTCCTTAGAATACTGCAGATAGACTGGATGGCTTTGGTATTTTATCTTGGTATTTTTGTGTTTCAGATTTTCTTTCTGCTTTGGGGAAATTCTCATCCACCGCCTCTATAAATTTCCCCTTCTTTTTCACCAAAAATTGTTTTTCTATATAAAAAAATGTTCGGTATCTGCTTCTGTTTTTAATAAACAAAAAAACAAGTCACTTGAAGAGAACATAAAAATATGTGACATGAAAAACAAATACCCTACAATGTTCTGCTCAGAGCATTAGAGTAGTATGGGTAGACGAGAAGATTTCAGGAGGATTGAGGACAAGTTAATTAAAAAGGAAGATAAATGACAAAAAAAAGTTTGGAAAAAAAACAAAAGAAAAAGAGTTCGGAGAAATTAACTTTCCAGAGACATAATAAATTCTATACCTGCAAATAGAATATTCATCACAGATGACATCAAAACTAAGATCTATTCTGTTGGGTAGGGAAACAAAATTACAAGAAACAAATGTTACCAGAATTTTCTATTGCCTTCAAAATCAATGTGGTAATCACACAAGGAGAATTTTCATTTAAGCAAAGGAAAAAACACATGAGTAGTCATATCATCTTTGTTATGTAGGGTTATAATCTGTATTATATGCACTGACAAACAATCTAGTCAGGATAGTTTGAGAAAGGATGCCATCATGTACGAGTTACCGTAAAAGAAAAAACTGGAGGAGAATCAAAACACCAAGGAAAACCTCTCCTTTACATCTTCATCACATTTGCATACACAACTGCCAAATCAGAGATTTTGGCTGATGCTTTTTTCGTGCCCAACAAAGGTAAACTAGGTAAACAGGAGAACCTATATAGCACTAGCAGATGTGGACTGTTTATGGGGAAACAGCAGGACCAGAGAAAGGAAAGGTATCAGAACATTGAACTAGACAGTATGCAAAAAAAGAAGAGGCTTACAAACAAACACAGTGACCCACAGTTCAGCTTATGGAAATTGTGAACTATTAGACACTCAAGACAGTTTGCAATACTAATCAAAATCAGTTATCCACCTCCTAAAGGAAATAAAAACAAGCATCAAAAGATGACTAAAAATAGGCAAAACAAATCAACTAACTCCCACAAGAATCTTTGCAGCAAATAATTACAATGCGAGAGGACTACCTTTTCAGCCAAATCAGTGATGTATCCTTCCCTACAATTTTCTGGTTCTTCACTTCCCAGTTGACCGATGACTTTAATCTCATCCATCAATATCCCATTGTCACTCAAAATTCCCTCAGGTGAGCAAATTACTCTGTTATCCCTCAAAATTCTAATGTTACTTTTGGTTCTTCTCCGAGGGGGAACTGACTTGACAGCAACAGCATCTGTAATATCAGTCTCCGATACTGTTATACCATCAGAAGGGTCTGCTGTTCCAATATCGGCCTTTGGTAAAATTGTGGACTTTAGTTTAACTTTAAAATTTTTATGTCGATTAGCCATGTAAACATGATTCTGAAACCACTTGACTAATTTGGGCTGAAAATCAGGGGCCGAATTAACTTCCTGCAGAGAAAAGGTCAAGAAGCAAAAAGACAGCAATGATTAGTTGATAAAACTTCTTTCGGGAAAAGAAAAGAAAGTAAAATCTATGATCATATGCATTACAGCCAGTGTTGAAATTAACAAATCAGGTGAGGTGCCGATTTCCATTGCCAGTTCTTCTACATTTACTTTTCCTTGATCAATTAACTGCACCATTCAAATTTACCCAGAGGTCAAATAAAACAGTGAAAGGGAAATAACCAAAGAAGAACAATAGACATGTATGTATGCAATGAATACACACACACACACACATACATATATACATGTATATAAATATATATACATCAAAAATCAAAACCCATGCAAAAGCATGAACGCATAAGTTTTTTCAGTACCTTCTTCAAAATCAGCAAAAGATCTCGGGGGTCGGTGCTAGCACCCTCATAGCCGCTTCTCTCAAATATCCCTATATCAATGAGTTGATCTACATCCCCAGATTCTGACAGAGGTACAGCATTTGATCTGGAATCGCAAACTCCTATTTCCCGTAATTCACCGTCACCGGGTTTACCAGCATTAGTATCAGAAGTTTCTATGCGGATAGCAAGTCTATCTCCGTTTCGGCCGATATTTAACTTGTGTTGTTTGTTCATTTGCAACATTGATGGATTATGGCTGGCAACAGAGCAGTCATGACTGGCAGCCACAAAAGCCTCTCCTAATTGAGAGCTATCCCTATCATCAGGGAGTTCAGTGTGCTTTGAGCAAAAAGCTCGTAATTCAACCTGTTGATATATACAGTATGGAATTTTAGAGGACAAGCCTTACAAGATAGCATAAAGTCAACAACGTACTTTTAGCACTGATGAATAAGCTGGCGGTCGTAATAGTAGTAGTAACATAGTACAAAATAATGAGCAATTATAACTTCTGCATGACAAAGAGAGAGAAAAAGGCTTACATTATCAGAACCATATTTGCCCCAGACCTCCATCCTGTGTCTTGCTTCCCTTGCACATATAGGATGGAAAGCAGTTCTGCAAGTTCCTGAATAAACCACGTGAACAAAAAGGCATTACCAGGTTGAGCTGCTCGTGTTTTTAAACCAAACGAGACAGATGGTAAAAGTGCTAGAGGTAACATTATATGACTTATAAATTAAAGCATTTCAAAAATTTCTGAGAAAACAAGGAAAGTTGTGGCTATTGGTGCAAGAAACTGACACCTTAAAGACTTAAGAAAATGGATATAGCATTGGCTCATTAAAGAGAGCAGCAAAATGAGTACAAGAGGCAACTGGATGAAATGACTGCACAAGTATATTGTCAAGTGATCTCAAAGATTCCAAAGAAAGCAATTGTAATTTTAAGTGATCTCATTTTAAGTGATCTTAAAGATCCCACAGCAAGAAACCCTCAACGATCAAAAAGCCCAAAGTGATGCAGTTAAAAGCATATTATGAGAATTTTGTTTCCCCTCAGCTTTCCACTTCACACAAATAAAGAATTATCGTCGTCCTATAAGAAAAAAAGCAAACTCAACCTTCCAAGATTAAGACATGACACTGGCGAATGTACCGATTAACAAAAATACAACATTAAGTATATTACACACTACAGGGAAGTGAACAGCCGCAGTAAATCATTTTTTGTCTCCATTGTGAACCGGGGTGGTCATGCAAAATTTGCTTTTCATTCCTAGCAGCAAAGTACTCAGAGTCACAGATCCAATCGCTCAGATATTAAGAATAATGCGACTCTGAAAAACACATGCATACTTTTACATGTGCACTCACGCATAGGGGGAACAGATAAGGGGCAGTACCAAAAGGGCCGTTCGAAAATAACAAGGAGTGGAAGAACGGAAAGCAACAGTGCCCTTTCTAGCCAAATCTAAACCAACCTTTACTGCTTGAACCAATGCCCAAAGGTTAAAAAAAAAACAAGGTTTGAGAACAAAATATCACAAGGAACAAAATAAGAATGTGGTTGGTAAAATAAGTATAGGGGGATAATGTAATGAGATGTCCAGCATATCTTAAAAATGCAGCAACAGTCATCATAACCAAGATAATTTTAGGTAAACTCAGACTAAAAACTGCCAAAGGAAGAGGGAGCAGCATCCAAGATTAGCACAACTAGAGAACAACAATGTTAGCAGATATCATCTTGATGGGAAAAATGAAAAAGATGATAGGACACTGGAGAATTAACTCAAGAGTAGAAACAAGGACAAAGAACAGCCCAGCATTGTTGTGGCTGGCAAGAGCAAAGTAAAATAGCAACACCAGCCAAAAAACTTCACAAGATCCAACCAGGTGTTCTTCTGTGAAGGCCCATGAAACACATGGTTCCATAACTTGGTATGGAAAAAAATTGAGCAACTGCGAACAAGATGCTAACAGAGATCCATCCAAACAACCAGGGAAAGAAATTAAATCATAAACCAAAGTGTGTCTAGTCACAACGCATGCTACATACATCACCAAACATCAAAGAGGTGCTAAAAACATCACCAAACATTTTACATAGCAAGTCCTCACCGCACTCAATCACTGCATTCTCTGTTAACAAAATACAGCAACCAGTCTATCAAATTTATTAGACTTTGGACCAAGCCGTCTACCTAGTTTTTGCAAAAGTAAAAGAAATGTATTAGAACACACCAACAGACCATCATCACATATGAAAATAACTAATATGCCCTAAACTGATTATAATAATTGACTTCACTCGCAATTAAACAAAATTCATGCAATCTTCCAGATTGTGCCGATCGTTACATATACAATGAAGTAGGGTATTCACCTAAAAGAAATTTTTTATTAATTAATTAATTTTACCAAAATTTAACATATGATCCAGCATTCTGCAAAAACATAACTGCAATCAGTTGGCATTTGGCTTACAGGGAAGAAAGATTCATGAAAGACTAAATTCTGAGATTTCAAGCAATATTGAGCTTGGGCCTGGTAATGTCAGATCTCCATAAGCACGAGACATATTATATGTGGTTTTTGGAATGTCAAATTGCCAGAAAAATAACATTCCTGAAGAGCAAACATACACCTCGAAGAAGCATGAGTTACTTTCCTGGTAATTTTACAGTCCCAGAAAAGATAAAATTTCAGATACCAAACTGCAAATGGCATCTTTTACATCCTTCTACAAAGCATTAAACAGTTTCAATCCCAATCCATCTCCAGTCTCCTCCAAGCCCCCATGAATAGGCAAAAATAACAACAACAAAGCCTCAATCCCAAAATAGTTCAGGTTAGCTATAAGGATCTTTTTGCGCCATTCTGGAATCATACACCAAATCACCCCAGCCCCCCATAAATACAGTTTGAAAACTAAAATATCGGATAAAGTAGCCAGCCATAAAAGGCAAGAAATTTAAACAGTGTACGAAGGCTATGCATCGACAACCTCATTGCACTTTCATGGATAAAGAACCAAAAGATTGAGAAATTTACATTGATGGCACCATTTGATTCAGTTAAGAAGCAAATCATAATATCTATAAGCCTAAACACAAACACTATCAACTTGACTTGACAAAATTTACAATAAAAGGATATTGCCTGGTGCATGCACAAGAAATATTACTGAAATCAACATTGCTATTACAGATTAGGGGGAAAAAAAGTGGTTCAGTAGTCATTAACTATTTTTATAACAGTGGACCTATAATTATCTGTCTGACTGTAGTTAAATTTCATTTTCATTCCAATAATAACTTCAGCTATAAAATTCCAAAGGAGTTCATTCAATGTTGGACAGACATTACCTCTTATTGTTTACGATGATTATCTCTATCCCTTTAAGAAACAGATATGGTGCACCATTCTATGACTTAGTCCAGGAAGATTGACTAGGAGAAAATGGGATGCAAATGAATCATAGATAACTAGTAATTGAGAAAATATCAACCAATTATGAGACGAGAAAAGGAACATTTTTCATCATTCTTTGATTCAATAAAGATCAATACAACTTAGATTAAGGAACAAAAGCATTTGCAATGTGACTTGTAAGCTGCATTAGACACTGGCTCTGCTGCCAAACAGGAATAAGTTGCAATAGACACCAACCCAGTGTACAGAGAAAAAGGATAAATGCATAATGGTATAAAATAAGGGAGCAACAAAACATACCATGACTGCACCGAACACAGGCACCACACTTCACCTTGCATACATTACACACTAATTTTCTTCGGGTTTCCTTAATTCCTCCCACATTTTTAATCGGCTCCATCTTCATTAAGTCCTCTATATAGACCTCAGGCATCCACTGGGAACAAAACAAGTGTACAAACTCCAGAACAGACCCACCATTTTCTACATCAATAGGTTTCAACGCACCACCCTGCTTCGGACAAAGTACACAAGACTGCTTCCCTAAATCATTGCCATCACTCTTATGCTTGCACCAGGAACACAACCAAGACTCGTTTACATCCCCTTGCACACCATAACACTTAAGATGAACTGCAACCTTGCAAGAAGAGCAAACAATCAACCTGTTTGAATCGTTACCCATCTCACCCTTGCAGCAAAAATCACATAGGGATAATTTTCCTTCACAAGGACAACCAACCAAAACTTTCTCCAACCCTGCATCACCGCCTAAAAGCTTCCGCTTCTTGGAAGGCCGTTCAGAGGTCAGTATATTCCTATTCCTACAACCTAAAAGCCACTCTACACTGCTAGACAAATCATAAACAGAGCAAGCGCTTTCTTCCTCCCGGGACAAAAACACAGCTCCATCACTTTGAGTTGCCACACAATCAACTTCCATAAACTGATCATCCTCTTGATTAACCTCATCTTTCACAATGAGTCCATTTCCATTTCCAACCACGCAATCCATTTCCACATTGGCCCTTGTGTCCGTTTGTTCACTAGTCTCGTTTTGTTCAGCATTCTCATTCACATTTTCCTCAGTTTTCACATTTGCCACGGTAGTCTCAGTTCTCTCAGTTTTCTCATTTCCAATATACGGAATATAAAAACACTTACTGTAATCTAAAGAATTAAATAAAGAAGATAACTTAAACAAAGCATCAATATCAAGCAATGTCAGTTCCCTAAAGTAATCTTCAGTCTCAACCCAAATATTCCCTCCTTTAGACCTGTCACTAGCCCGCGAAGAAGACTTCTTATCCGCACCGGAATGAGACCTTTTATGTCTCTTTCTACTGCCATCTGATTGCCTCAACAAACTAGCCAACCGACTAGGCAAAGTAGACACACTTGGAAAACTAGAAACACCAGAACCAGACGCATTCTCTGCAACATCAAATGGCGAGAGCACGCTTAAGACCTTATTAGCTTGGGAGAAGAAATCAACGTGGGGTGAAGTCGGTTTCTTTACTGTCGGTTGAGGTATTTCAGATTCGTTTACGAGGGAATTAGATGCCGGAACCCTAGAAATTGGACGGCAAGGCCTCTCGTCAGTGCCGCAACCTCTGTCAGGACCCCTACCCATCATCTTCATTTGCCGGTGGCATCGGTCTCTGGTCATTACCGACACCAGCCACAACAACCTTCTTTACCACCGTCGCATTCCATCACAAAACCAACCCTAACCCTAATTCTAGTCTAGGTCTAATTCAAATCTCTCGAACGGAAAAAAAATAATAAATCTCTAAATAGAAACCTAACCCTAACCCTAATTTGGTCTCTCGTGAGCTAAACCTTCACATGCGTAGATATAGAGAAGGATAATGAATTTCGCGGCTAGGGTTAGGGTTTCAGTTAGTCAGGTTCGAGAAGTTGGAGATCCGGTTTTGTCTTTTAATTTCCGGGTGGTTTTTTGTTTTTTTTTCGATTTCGCTTTCGATGAGAGAAGAGAGAGAAAGAGAGATTCGCGTTTTTTGCAGGCAACAGAGGACGGTTAGTTCTTGGGGTATATATTTTTATATTGGGTTAGGATAGTATGTAGTGACGCGATAAAGTTTTACTCGTGTAGCTGTTGCAACTTTCCACGTGGCATCATTTTTATATGTCCGTGTGGACAGCCTCTGTAACAATTTGCTTTTGCTGTGATTTATAATTTTTATCCGTCCGTTTTCTTCTTTCTTTAACGTTTCCCTCCATTTAACTTTTGAAATATGGTAAATTGGCATGGGGTCGAGGACTTGAGGTTAGTGCTCGATTTATGTCTACTTGCTCTTGCTGGCTGTTGTAGTCCGGTTTATAAAAAGTGGAAGTATTAATTATTAAGATCGATTCCGAGTTGAAATCATAGTTTAAGAATTACTTCTAAGAATCTTAATCTATGCTTTAACAAGTATTTACACGAATAATTCATTTGACAAGTATCAAAAAATCAAGGACGTTGAATTATGAGTATTTTGTGTTAAAAAAAAAAGAATCAGGAGCTTTTTTTTCTTGGCAATCGTTTTACAATCTAAAACTCATATTTTCAAAATATATTGAGGATATAAATAAAAATTATCCGTAAAAGTATCTCTCTACTCTATATTTTGCATGCGATGTTACATTTTATATGTCAATTGAAATTTATTTTATACATAACACCGTCAATGTTACGTTTTCATCCATATTTACGATGATAAATAAAAATGATAACTTTTTAGTTTTTAGTCTATCAAAAATCTCATGAAAAACAAAAAATGTATAAAAAATATAACTGAAAAAATCACCGAATAACAAGAAAACAAATTGTATTTGAGATATATCAACTTTTAAAATAATTTTAAAAGTTATCAAATAATTTTTATTTTATACATAACACCGTCAATATTACATTTTCATCCATATTTGCAGCACATAAAAAAGATAGATTGTTAGTTTTTAGTCCATCGAAAATCTCATGAGAAATAAAAAATACATAAAGAGTATAACTAAAAAAAATCACCAAATAACAAGAAAACAAATTGCATTTAAGAGGATATCAACTTTTAAAGTAATTTTAAAATTCTAAATATCGAATAGCATTTTCACCATAAAAAAAAAAGTGATCAAGGTGCCTATAAAAATATGTGAATATACATAGCTTTTATTGCGTATTTAAGAACTCATTGACAAATTAAATAAAAGATCTAGTATATATGGACAAATTGATCAATTTACCATTGAATTGATGGCAATGGCATTACTCTATTCGTTGTATAGAATGGACGGGAGGAGACTTGTCCTCTAAAGAAATGTTATTTTAAATTTATTGAAATCTGATAAATGTCTTGTGTTGTTTCCCCAACCACGCCAATAATTTCTTATGCCTCTATTCTCTATTGATTTAAAGTTTTGCTTCTACGTATGGACAAAAAAGGAAAATTTATCGGGGAAAAAACTCAACATTTATTATAATTTTTGTTGTATCGTGAATGATCAATGAAATTATTGATTAGTTATATTATTATGATCTAATTGATGCCAAGGGGAAAGAGTTTGCCAAAATCCGTATATTTTTTATAATTTAATGAAAGGGAAGAAAGTGTAAAAAATAATTGTGATATTGTAATTTTACAATGATGTGATTGATTCTTCACTTATCAATCAATATATTACATTAATGTTAATGAAAAATCTTAAAACCATAACATGTAAAAATAAGTAAAGTATGCGTGCTTGAGGTTGTAGCCTAGCGGAACGAGAGCTTACCTCCGAGGATCATTCGGGTTCGACTTTCTCTACGTACGCTTATCACCTCACGATGCCTTACATGTCTATCGGGCTTGCATGGTGTTCATTGGGCTCGAAGAATTAATCGAGATGCGCATAAACGGATCCGGACACCTTGAATTAATAAAAAAAAAGTAAAGCGTGTTTTATTTGGCTGCGATGGTGATTAATGTGAGAATTTTATATGAAACGATGAGGGAGTATTATCAAAACCGTATTGAATTTTAAACGATAAAAGTTTTTGTCATTGTTGGTTTTTGATCCTACCGACAAGTTACCGATTGGTTCGACAAATCATATATACTATTTATATATTTATTATAATATTTTAACCATAGGCAATTAATGAGGTTTTGGTTGGATTTGCATTTTTTTTTTAATCGCTCGGGTCAAAACAATGCACCACCGGCACCAAGCTTCCTTAAAAAAAAAAGTAACAAACGAGAGAAATGTGGAAGCATATGATTTGTCCATAATTAAAAAATTAAATTAAATATGGAAAGTTAACTCCAAATGTATGATTTTAAAAAAATGAAAATTAAAAGAAAAAACAAAGAAGACAAAAAGAAATAATAAAAAAAAACTTTGAAACCTCGTTTGTCCAAAAAAAATGCAAAAGCAAGATTATGAGTGTTCACTATTTGGTGAAAATCAAATAATCGAACCAAACGAGCATCGACATATCAATTTCGGTGCTTTTTTTTTTAGAAATTATAGTAAGAAACCAAACCAAAATAATTTCTATTTTCGAGTTTAGGTACGGCTTTTTATTAAAAAAAAATATTAACCAAAAAATCATTTTTTAAAAAATATATATATAAGTCAAATCACTTAGTGTATCACCAAATTGAAAAACCATTTTCCCCTAGATGCATTTCTTCTCATAGTTTCATACGTGCTCTATTTGTCTCTGCTATAAGTTTAGATGTACATAATATAGCAAAGAAGTTGATAGATTTTCTATTGTTTCAAATTCAAGCCTTCTTAAATAAATAATTTATTGTTTGTTTATCTATAGAAATTTCAATAACTTTAATAGAATCAACCTTTTGTATAAAAAAAATAAAATAAAATGGGTAAAAACGATTCACCGAATACCAATACCGAAATATTTTTGAAACCGAACCGAATAACCGAATAACATTTCGATTTGATTTCGGTTATTTTTAAAAAATTCAGCTAACGAGAAAATCATCCAAATTAACCGAACGAACACCCCCGAGCAAGATAGATAAATTTACGATTTATTTTCACTTGTTGCCTCTTTTTTTCTTGATTAAACTCGTAGCTCTTGCACCTCGAAGAGCATCATTAAAGCAAATAAACATGGTGTATTGCTTTGATCATATAGCATGGCATGATAGACTAAAATTAGAAAATCAAAGATACAAGAGTAAATTGGTTTTGACCAATAGTTTGAAGGGTTTTTTTTTTAACAATTGAACTAATGTTTAATACATGCCCATATATATATATATATATATATATATATATTAAGGTGGGTTGCTAGCGATACTCTCTCTTTACACGAGGTTTGAGTTAACATCTAACAAAAACGTTGTTTTTCTTTTCACTTTTTTAATAATTGACACACGAAGAATTTAACAAAAACTAGTTATTTTCAATTTCACGGGTTCATATCGAATTTGATTAAGTTTTGACCAAATCACATGTTAAACAACATACATACTTAATTTGAACAAGTTTAGTTTATGGTTCGTTGGAATGGGAATTAAACAAATATGTCGGTTCAATTATGAACTGATTTAAATAGAAGAAAAGTTGCGAGTTGATAATGAATGAAGTTATTATAAAATCTTTATAGAAACAAGGCTTTCGTTGAAATATCGAGAGATGAAAATTTTTCTACAACAATGAACAACACAATCAAGACCACCATTCCATTGGCTAGCAAATGAATTATGCTCTAATTATTTTGTTGAAAGGATCAAAATAAACAAGAGAATTCTAAAGGATCTATTAAAGGATTTGTTGGAATTGTTTTAGTAAAATATAAAAAAAACTACATTTATTGTATTATTTGTTTTTTTTAAACATGGTTAATATTTTATTAAAAAACAAGTGGGGGATTGTTGGATTATTTTTTAATAAAATACTATACTTGTTATTATTGTTAAATAACAATAATAATAAAGTACTAAATGCATGGTTAATGAGGTACATTAAAATGTAATGGTTATATTTATTTTAATAAATTAACAAACAGTTACATCATTTATGAAAGAAGTTTTTTACCATTTTTACAATAATTGCACTTAATGATTGCAATTATTTCTTCCTAAACAATTTTATTCCTATGACTTATACATAGACCTTTCCCTTATGTTATGGATGCTAGAGTAAAAAGAAAAAATACATAGCAACATTTTTATTCTCTTGTTTAGAGAAAAGAGTAGCATTATTTTAGAAAGAAAAATATTTCTTTCAATTTTCTTGTTTGTTAATCTCTCACTATAAAGCCATATAATGTTTACTTATTTTATTTGTTGGGTAAAAGAGGTACTAAATTTTATTTAGAGTTTCAAGTCTTACAAGTAGTGCAAACTTATTAAGACACGACATGATGGTTGAGCTTGTTGTATCCTTGAGATGGCGTGCAATATATTTTTTATCTGCTGCATCGGATAAATTTTGTAGATAGCGCGTATCATCTCAAGAAAGCAACTCGATTGTGTCTCGAGCTAGTCACCTAAAAATTATGGTAAAACTATTTTGGTATTTCGGTCTTTTTTATATCACAAAACATGATAATATGATTTTAATCATTAATTTTTCTAATAATCAAGGTAAAAAGTTTCAATTCTTTATTTATTTTAATTTATAATAAATTTATTAATTTATTGTGTCAATTTTTATTATTTAATTATGTTCTTTTTGTGTGCTATGAATAATAGGATCTCACAATAAGGTGAAAATAGGATGCATCTTGTTTTCTCTCTCAATATGCTAGAGTGTATAATTATAATATACAAAAAGTTTCAAATAAATTGAGATTTTTGACAATCAACAATTGCTATGTCCTAACAAAAACTGATGCTATGAGACTTTTTAACAAAATTCGGATGGATATCAAATAAAATGACTTATGTGGTTCAAACCCTCATTTTATTCATTATTTAATGTTCTTTTCAAAGAAAACTTCAATTTAGAGTTTAATTTACCATTTCATCACCAATTGAGTACCTAATATTTTTATTTTATCAATTTCGTTACAAATATAATTGATATTGTTGTTTTTAGGGTAAAGTTTTTTTGATTGATTTACGTGTCAATTGAAACTAAGTTCCTCTAAAATGATTTTCAAAAAAATTTATCCAATTTTTTAACCTAAATTCAAAACTAATAATGAGATTTAAAATATAAGTATTGGGATCTGAATATATTTAAATAAAGTGAATTTTTACCTTATTAATCCCTTGCCAAGCATAATGTAACCATGAATAGCTCTTTTATTTCAATACTAGGCCGTATATTGTTTAAAAAGTGTTAATTTTAATTTACCACCAACACCCCCCCGCCCACCCACTCCACACCACACACGCCACCCCCCCCCCCCCCCCTCCCGGCTCCATCTCTTTATTATTTTTCCACTCTCCACACGCAGCACTATTTATTCACTCATAAAACCTAAGAGGAATAAATTTGAAGGGAAAAATATAACCCAAACACTCATTAAGAAACTATTCTATAAGCTTATATCCGATTTACCAGTCTATTTAATATTAATTAAAAAAATAACATTTCCAAACATTTCATTTTAGCATTTTAATTCCTAGAAAATTTATTTTGATCCTTATATTTATTTTTTTACAAATTAATCCTTTATTTAGAAATTGTTTGCCCTTAAGCTTTTAAAAAAACATTTTGATCCTAAATTATAAATTTATGCAATAAGGTTTACATGCGTTAATTTTTTTTATGAACATGGTAGCTATATTTTTAAACATAAATAATATACATGGTATCATTTGAACATTGTGACTGGAGTGGAAGATTTGATCTTATCAAATTATTTTTCTATAGTTTTGTTTGATCAAATTTCAAAAGTACAAGTAACGAAAAATATTTTTATGTTGATTTGGACAAGTTAAATGGAAATATTGATATGTAATGGAAAATTGAGAGGAATAGTGATATGTAAATAAAATTTTAGGAAAAATATTAATACAATCGAAACCTCAAGGAGTGAAACTGAATTCTACTCGCATCGCAGGGGATAAATTAAAATTAACCCTTAAAAAATATATACAAGGGCTTTATAGCTTTTCGGGGTGGATTCGGACAATATCCACCCTTATGGTAGATAACAAATTAACGCAATTCATAACGGCCTAGAGCTTCAAGCAGCAACAACAGTCGATCACTAACCAAACCGAGAAATTTCTCAACCCAACCAACGTCCAGTACTTCTTTTTCTTTCACTATTAAGTAACCGAAAAAGGCAATCGCTCGTGGGAGAGAAATGGATTTACCGGAGCTGTGGGCAATCTTCGGTCCTGGAATCGCTGGCGCGGTATTTGGCGCAGGATGGTGGTTTTGGATCGACGCCGTCGTTTGTAGTTCTGTTAAAGTCTCCTTCGTTCATTACCTCCCTGGTCATCTCTCCTTCTCTCTAACTTTTTGTCTCTCTCTCAATTTCAATAAATAATTACCCATGTGTTTTTCTTCAGATTGATTGATTTTTTAGGGTTTTGCAACTGTAGGCATATTTGCATCTATTGCAGCTCTGATGTTTAATTGCGTTAGAAAAGAGGATATTGATTACTCTCCTTACGAGGAAGGCGAGTGGAGGTCTGCAGTTTTCCATGTCTCTCTGTCTCTCAATTGCTTATTCTGGTTGTTTCCTTGTTAGATGTTATTTTAATTTTTCAATTATGATTTTAGTCCGTTAGAAACTACCCCTTTCAAAAGATAAAAAAGTGAAAATTGGATTGCATTCTTAGTTGCTGAAATTACACGTTTAGCAATTAAATTGAATTTTCTGCGGGTTCTGGGGACTTTACTTTAGATGGAGAGCATTGGACTATCCATTTATGTAGCACAAGGTGTCTTGGAACGCCACGAACATTTATTCCCATTCTGATAATGATTTTGTTATCTTGTGTTGGTTCCTGCAATGCTGAGACGTTAAGCTATTGCTTTAATATAAAAATAAGTGTTATGGTCTTCGAGTGGTGTTTAGTGTGCGACTGTTGCACATATATTCTCCAGTGTATTTTCTAAAGCCTGCTGCTATACTTAGTGGTTTTTAGCCTACTGTTTGGCTGCAGATGGGCATCACAATCTTTCTGACGATTGTTTTGTTTTCTCTTGTTGTTTCTGTATGTACTTCATCCTATTGCTCTTGGCTTTGTTTGTTGCTGTTTTAATCTTAGTGTAGATTGCTAATGGGATCTTTACCATGTGATTGAATACTTGCAATTGTTATGTGCTATACTATATTGATTTGATTTACAGGTATGATCCTGAGAACTATTTGTTCTCATGTACAGGAACTTCTTATCTTAATAATTGTATGAAAAAGAACAAATAAGGGATATGGCAATTTATGTTGGAGTCTGATGTTATTTTCTCTGGAGCTTGACTGTTAAAAACTCTTGTTTTTCCTTCCTTTCCGAGCGCTGAGGTTCTTGATGAAATTGACTATTATTATGATAGAACAGTTTGAAACCTTTGATGATACAGCACAATTAATTATGTCGATTCTTTTATGCTAGAAGATTTGGATTGAAAATTTAGACTTTCTCCCTCCATCTCCTTTTGAATAATTGTGAAACTCTCCTACCCATTACAACATTTGTTTCTTTATGTGGTTTCTAGATGGAATTGTTTAACTTTCCTTTTGGCTTTTGGGCTCAGTGTTTGCTAATCCTTCTCTTAATTGCAGATTGAAGCTTTGGCTTTTCTTGGCATATGTTGTCTCTTTTGTCTCTTTAGCAGCATCAGTGGGCTTATTAATACAAGATTCAATTGTCAAAACTGGGCCTTCAGTGTGGACAGGAACTGCTGGCGTCTTGCAGTGTGTGTTTGTGCTGATCAGGTAAATGTTTTGCTTTTTGTGTGTCTCCGTCTGCTGGTCCACCTCTCTCTGTCCCAATAACACATTCGCACATGAGACACAAATAGGTATAACACCTACATGGATTTGTGTGCACATTCATCGTCATTTTAGAGATGTTATTTGACATTGCCTGGACCAATTTGGATGTACCAGTTGCCTCTTCTCTTTCTTGTTTTTTAATCGATGTCCCCATTCTCTCTTGTTTCCTGCAGTGGGCTAATTTATTGGACTTCACATTCCGAATGAGTTATGTTGATCACTGCATTTGCATGTTGGAACCTGGAATTATGACAGAGGGAGTTTGTTGTGCATGCATCATTACTTATTCAATCCATGGGACAGAAAATAGCTCTACCTTGTGTAAATTTTTATCTGTGCTAACAATCTTGAGCATAAAAAACAGACCCGTGCATCTGTTCGGGAATTTCAGATGTTTGGTACATAACAAAGTGAAATCTGATAAACTCTGGTGTTTCTTCAATGCCCTCGTCGAGAAGCCAAATTCTATTGTTTTCAGGTTGTTCACAGAATCTTGTAGTCTTAGTTTGACCGGTGAATGCTCATAATAGCAACGTCCACGTTCGATTTTCCTTAGATCTTATGCTCTTATTCTTCTCTTGTTCCCATTTTTGCAGTCTGTCATTTTTCTTCTTGTTGTGGCTTTTTCCCGTTAAGTCTATTTGCTGGCAGCTTTGAACTGCAACTTTAAACATTCAACCAAATTCCCTGTTTCCTGTGGAACGAGTATATGATGAAATATTAAATCTCGCAATCCACTTTTGCTGATATAACAGTAAATTATACGTGAAGTTCATGCGATTTTGTGCCCAACAAGAAATTCTCGAGCTTGGGAAAGAAATTTCACATTGCAAGATATCTAACCTCGATTTATAATGGTGTAAATTCTCCAGCAATCTGACATGGGAGAATTTGCATTTCTCAATTTCAACAGCTGTTCATCTAATCACGTCGGAGTTAAGTTGTGCAATCAACAAGCCTCTTTCCATTTCTTAAGTGGCAAGTAATCATGACTCTTTCCATCCCATCTATTTTGTCCAATTTTTTTATCAGCAGATGTCTCAAAATTCTTGTACGCTTTTCAAATGAAACACATGAAAAAATTTAATTTTCCAATCTTATCCTCAATTATTAAATTAGTAACATTTCTATTTTCAAATCTATATAGTTTTGAGACTATGAACAACTAATAAAGTAATACATGATGAACCAAGGGAGTAATTTACATTTCTATTAAGGTTTATTGAACCAAAACAGAACAAATTTTACACTTTTTAATTATATTAACAAGGTTTAAGTTTTTATTAATTATATTAACACAAGTGAATTTTTTTGACAAAAATTCTAACAAATTGTTAACAACATAGTTTCAAAGGCAAAGAAGACCAAATGAAACTATGAAGTGTTTTCAATCAATCATAGTTAATTATGAACTACTCCATTCAATGATTTTTTTTGCCCAAAAAATTTTACCGCGTTGGCTAATAATGAAATTTTGATCGAAAAAATTCATGTTTGCTATTATTATTAACAGAAATTTAGCTTATAAATTTTTTGTCTAACATCAAAAAAATGTATTAATATGATTAAAATGCGTAAAATTTTTTTTTTAGTTCAATAAACCTTTTATTAAAGAATTATCTTCATCTAAAAATTTAAGTTATTTAAGTTGTTGAATGAATTCATCAACACGGTTTTATATTAATTTTTCAATTTATTCTCTTGAATGGAAAGTATATGGAAGTACTTTGGACTTAAAAATTAAAATTTATATAGTCTCGCTTGTATTTGTTGTTGAATTTTTAGTTTAATTAAAGAGAACGAGAATGACGTGATATAAACTTTCGATCCTTTAGATTCTGATACCGCTACAAAAGATCATCATAGTCCTCGAGTTTGAGAACATGTTTGGGCCACACTATGGCTTTTGTGCTATGACTGTTTTGTTGTAAGATTTTTTTAATATTTTTCCTTTAAGAGTTGAAAACGAGAGTTCTTTCACTAATAATTTGTCAACATTTTTAAATAATATAAGTTAAAGGAAAAAGAACAAGAATTAAAACATTATAAAGGTTTTTCTTTCAAGTACATAGGAATACTATATAATTTAATAACTAATTTTAATGACACATGAAATCTATTAAATAATATAAGTATAAAAAAAGGAAGCAATAATTAATACATCATGTTTTTTTAAGGAAACAAAATATGTATAATTTAATCAGTATCCGCATAGTCACTAAATTTTTTGTTATTAAGAACTCTTAAAGTTATTTTTGTTTTTTATATGAAATAAGCAGCTTTCGTAAAAATAAGAAAAATCATTTATCGTATTTTTCAAATAAAAGCCTATATGTATTTATGTGCAATCACCTTTCGTTTTCAAAAATTAAGCAATTGAGTATTAAAATCCTTACCAAACGATAATCAAATGCTTTTAATTGCTTTGTTTTAAAACAAAATATATAAATCTTTAATTTGTTAGATGAGAATTTTGAAATAATTTTATATTAATTTTCTGCCTCATACTTATTGCAACATTAATTGAATTTCTGATTTTGTTTATTTACTTAGATTAAAGATGATAATTCATTTAACCAACAAGTTGTTGGCATAGTGAGTTGAGTTGGTCTCGGGTAAATTTTCTATCAATGTACAAGATTCAAATTTTAAAATTGTATTTATTGAAAGAAGTTAATTTTGTCATTTTTATTTCGAATAAGATTAATCATATTTTCAATAAGAGATAGAAATATTTAAGTAAGAACAAAAAAAAAAAATAAAGGAATAAAAAAAAGATGATAATTCATTTCCAGTTGGTAAGTCCAAACAGGACGAACTAAGGTCATGCATGAATGTTACAACATTAACAGCTCAACTGGATAAGCTTAAACAAGGTCTCCACCAGCTCTCATTTCCTTGTAAGCAAGAATGCTGGACCTGAGAAGATCTTAATAAGATGCCAATAAATAGTTAAACTTCACAATGGTCTTGAATTTGCATGTATATCTTCTAGAAAAGCCACTAATTAAAGTTAATTTCTCATGTCAGAAGGCAACCTACAGAAGATAATTGTCATTAAAACAGATAAACACAAAATCTAGAGTGCAAGCAACAACATTATATTGTCAGAAAAGGGTACTCCACCTATATATACACTGCTAATTGTGAATGGAGAGGCATACGGTGTTCAGCTAGATTCTCACATACTTAATTAGAGGTCGAAGTTAAAGGAAAAAATGGAGATGATGGGTTCGACGTGCAGGTTGATTTTTGTTACAGCACTAATACTGGTAGCTCACCAGTTTTCCATTTCCAGTAAGATCTCTCTCCTGCAATTACTGAAAGCAAGCACGACTTGGTTTTATCAAATTAATCACTAGATTTCAATCTCTTGTTTTCACATAATTAATTTAGTACGGAAAGAGTTTATGTCACAGATTTTGAACATAAAGATTCTTGTTCGATATTTTTCTCTTAAGTTTGATATGATCTGTTGCAGGTGCTCACCCTATTGGTGTTTGCTATGGCCTAAATGGGGATAACCTTCCACCTCCAAGTGATGTGGTGGGTCTCTATAAGAGTTCCGGAATCGAATTCCTTAGACTTTACGAGCCGAGATCTGATGTACTTGAAGCATTGAGAGGATCGGGAATTGCCGTTGCTTTATGTCCCCGAAATGCAGACTTGCCAAACATTGCTCAAAGGCCAGACGCTGCTGATGAATGGGTTAACACAAATATTGCCCCTTACAAGAATGATGTGCTATTTCGTTGGATTGTAATAGGCAACGAAGTGATCCCCGGCTCACTTGCCAGTTACGTTCCCGCAGCAATGGCCAACACCCAGAATTCACTTGCAGCAATCGGGTTGACTAACGTTACAATAACAACTGTGGTACCAGGAAATGCACTTGCAGCCTCCTACCCTCCATCAGCTGGTGCCTTCAGCAGCGATATAACTGACCTTATGACCACTGTTGCTGGCATTTTAGCCAATTCTAATGCTCCACTTATGATCAATGTATATCCTTACTTTGCCTACGCCTCGAACCCGTCACAAGTTCGCGCAGACTATGCCTTGTTTACTGCAACCTCGCCTGTGGTGATTGATGGAAGCTTCCAGTATTTTAATCTCTTTGATGCCATGGTTGATGCATTTCATGCTGCATTGGAAAAAATTAGTCATTCTGATTTAAAACTATCTATAGCGGAGAGTGGATGGCCAAGTGCTGGGAATGATCCTTATACCAGTATTGACAACGCAAAGACTTACAATCAGAAACTAATGGATCATGTGTTGAAAAATGGGACACCAAGGAGGCCCGGAGAAATGATGGAAACATTCCTTTTTGCAATGTTCAATGAGGATTTGAAACCAACCCCAGTTGAGCAAAACTTCGGGTTCTTTTATCCCAACATGAAGCCAGTTTATCCGTTTTGGTGAAGTACCGGTCGGTTGTAGTTGTTGTCAAAATACTTAGACTTAATTTGTTGTCAGACCATCTTGAAGCAAATAAATAAAAAATAATAACAGTTCATGAGTGATAAGGTATTTTGTTTTTGTGACTGGATTAAATAAATACATTACTTTTATGTTCTAAAAGTGAGTTTTTATTTTATTTTATTTTATTTTTTCATGCAGATTAAAAGGTTATTAATTGTTACATTGTGTTAGCATTTTTTTGTTTGTATTTTTATAAAAAATATATATTTTTTGAAAATATTATTTAGACAATTTTTTTTAATCAAATAAACTTTAATTAAAAATATTGTTTTTAAAAAACAATTCATTTAAAGTTTTGATTAAATAAGCGATCTCTTTACCAAGAAGATAGTATAATAAATGGGTGTTTAAAATGGGGCATGCAAAAAAAATGAGGGATCCCGACCTTGTCAATTATTAAAAACCAAATTAAGATTTTCTGGGAGATAGATTTTTTGGAAATAGCAAGGAGAAGTTTAAAAAATTAAGCCTTTCAGCGGACTATTAGGCACATGCCCTCCGGATCCAGCTGCCCTCGCCGTGGTAATGAAATGGAATCTGTCCTTCATGTTATGCGAAACGTCAGTTGGCCAAAGTTGTTTGTACAGGATGTCATGCCACTCAAATTCTCCCAGGTTTCTTCAATGCCAATTTGAATGATTGGCTGGTAAATAATCTGGTAAATTCTCCCAGGTTTTTCAATAATCAAGGTTTTCAGTAATCTATTAATAGAGAAAATAATT